AATTTAATTGTTCTGCGAACTGCTATCTAACATGTATGATATAGGATGGTTCACAGTACTCATGTTTTCTTTTAACAAAACAATCCTGTTATCAATTCGAATTACGTCTTAAAATCCTACATTTTTCCGTGGTGGATGTTTTTTGTGATATCGAAGTACCACTCCCCTCGAAAACAGAATTACCAATCCTACAAAGGATACCATTCGAAAACTTCATAAATGAAGCAGTTTTTGTAAAATTCAACATTCTAGGATGTTTTTTCGTAGATTCTGCATTTCTTCACAACGTAGTTAATCAACTTCCCATCTCAACCACACCTTTTGAATTTTCGTATCAAGCCGAAGATCGTGGGTTCGAATCCCGCTCGTGCCATTGACTTTTTTATCTCAACTGAAAACCTTAATTAATTGTAATATATTAATTGGTCAAGCGGACCACGAAACTAGTGAATTGAATAAACGTAGTTAATTTTTTAATGCTTCAAAGATTTTGTAATGTTCTTTAGATAACATATTCTTTAGACAATTTTAAAATTCGACCTCAATTTTGATGAAAATGCATAAGTGAAATTCTGGTTTTTTTTTTGTGACAAGTCAATTTTTCCGAGAAGAAAAAATTCTTTCTTCTCGATGGAGTGAGTTAGATAACCTTTTTTCGGCATTCTATTCCATTTACAGTCTACTATCGCTTAAGTTTTGTTTTTATTTTCATCCCAAAGCAACCCATCCTATATTATGACTTATGTAGGTTCTTAAATGTTACGGTATATTATAATTTAATCGTGTAAACATAGGAAATGAAATTGTTTACGTGATTCGCAAATGTGTGTAATTGATTCAAAAAGGTTTTCAACTACATTTAATCTGCGCAGGGACGCAATTCTAAACAGAAAAGTTGATAAAAAGAAATTAATTAAAGAAGCACAGTTAATTTCAAGTTCTATTCTAATAAATGGACAGTACAAGTGAGACTTTTAAGGACGTTTTTGAGTTAAACGACCGTTTCAATAGTATGTTAAAACAAAAAGAAACCAATTTACGTAAATATTTTAATAACCGCAATTTTCTTCCTCCATATAACAGTCAGCAAAACAGAGCTCGTCTCTTATAAAACCGAGGCGTGCAAAGAACCGAGGAAACTGCCAGCTAGGAGAACCGTACGTGTACTGAAAGCGGTTACCTTTCACCAAGACTTTTACCGTCGGGTTCATAGGTCGAAGGTTCTCTGACCGGACAGTAGCCGCATCTGCCCAACCTATTCCTTTTCGACAAAGAGCAATTTTATAACATGATGGACAAAAATTAACCATCGCTGACTAAAAGAGAGGCGTTATACACCGTGATTAGGAAACTTCCATATGCTCTTCCATCAGCTGTTGGCTTTAGTATGTTTGAAAGGTTGTCCTTATTCAACTTGGTAAATCGGATTTTGAGGAAAACCCGGGTGGTTTAAATGGCGTAAAAATTTATTGATTTTAGCCTTATGATCATTAAAAAAGGTTACAGAGCGATTCCAGGATCAATCAGAAATAACACCACATTTTACCTACACCTACTATTAACTCAGAATTTTGTTAAGTAAGGAAATTATATTTTAATTAACTTTCTAATTTTCTTTCAACAGTAAAGACAAAATCGCTAAGTATTTACAGATTTTAATTTCAATAGAAATAATAGAAGTTATATAATCAATCAATTTTCCAAATCAATCAGAATAATAACCTTTGGTAGTTAACAACTCTTAAACAAACTGTAAATCTAAGAAGAAAAGATATCAATTTTTCTTACAAAGCTACATGATAAAATGTCAATATTTCATCGTACAAATTAAACTTATTATTCAACAAAAAGCAAAACAATTTGATAATGTCGTGTGTAAACATGTTTTGCAAAACTATCGATACATCAATCAAAAATTTAATAAAAATAATAATAGAACTTTTGCCCAGATTTAATCATATTAAAAAACAAGATTTTCTAGTCGTTTCCGATCATCCTAATTTGATGGACGCGGCACTGCGCCATAATTATGATCAATGCGTTTCGGTGCATCGCCCTGCTTATATTATGTCTCTCCTTTAATTTATTTCTTCTTTAATTAAGTAAAGATTTATTTTTGTTTTCAATATTTTGTTATCATTACGGTGTTTTTTAATTAAACCAAAGATAGAAGGTACGTTTTTTTTATTTTTTACCAGGTTTCGACAATCACGTGCCATGTTGCCACCTTCACAGATAATATGTTAAATTAAACAAATGTAAATCATAAATAATAATAGACATTTAAAATTTGTGGTGTGCATATAAATGCTATTAGAAATCATGTAGGCAACTATAAAATTTAAAAACTTTTTCAATATAATTTTTAATACTTTCTAAGCAGCAATTTAATTTCATAATTACTTGGTTAAAGGAATATTTTCTTCTTAAAAATGCTCAATATCTTGTCAAACTGAAGTCGGTACTACAGTTTGTTTTTTCATTTTTTACATCTTTATTGTGGTACAGAAATAAAAGATAAATGACGTGTACGAATTTTTGCATGTTTTTCTTATTATCATGTCCTATTGGTATCAGCCTTATTACAATAATTGTAATGAATTTAACTTTAACAAACAGGGATAATGCGAAATTTAACAGAAAGAAAAACTCTCAGATCTATCGACAACATTTCGAGTATCTACATATCTCTTCGATCTACAAATTCATTATGACTGAAGCCATAATTTTAACATTGTAAGTAGATGTTTATATCATTGAATCGTGTAAATCTTTGAAAATTGTGTCCAAATCCTGATAAAGGGGATACATTGGTCAAAAGCTTGTTGAAGAAACGAAGTGTTTTTCTTTCCTACAAATTTCGCCTGGCAAAACTGAAGCAACATTACGTAAGAGAACGTGTTTTAATAATTTAACGTTTAGTCTATTTATCGAGAACAAGTCATACAATTTTTTTCTTCATTTTACTATGTTAATAATTAATCTTACAATAATGCAATGTATAAAATAAGATTTTACTGAACTTTCTTGCAAAATAAGAAATATTATAATTTCTTCTGATATTATTCTACCATCGCTGTTTAAAAAATTAAAATCAAGAAAAATATTTTTAAATATTAAATTTATTGTATTGTTTTTATTCTTATGATCCTTTAATCTTAGCCTGTTTACAGTAATTTTACAAGTATTTAAGCAAGCAGGATAAGGGAAAGCATTGTATTTTGTGTGTCACGTTATTTATCAAAAATCATGCTGAGCTGGCTCTGTGTCCTGTTTTTTAGTTGGTTGTAAAAATTCCGCAACATCTTATAGAACCAATCGTGTTAGTAGCAGGGTTTTTTGTACCAACTGTTTTTTTGTCTTAAAAATAATGATAGAATCATCAAATATCAAGTGATGGCATATAGTCAATATAAACGCTAAGATAACCAATTAAAAATTTTATTGCACAAAAACCTAAATTTGTTGTACAAATATTTCTACGTGCATTGGTCAAAAATTACAGCGCAGTGAACTTTTATATTTATTTAACATAATTTGTTAAAATTATTTATTTGTTAAAATATTATTTTATGAAATAGTACTTGGAAAATAATGTCAGAATTGTAATTGTTAAATAAGTCTACAAAATTTTGGACGGTGGGACGATGAAAATTAGCCACACACAAAGATAATAAAGCCGTTGAAAAACTTAAAAATTGTAGTTGTTGAAAGAAAGGGGCTTTTCAAATTAACACTTTCATTTTGACCCCTTTTCACTTTTTGAGCAAAGTGAACCTGAAAGTGGAAAATGTTTATTTTAAACAAGTTATTCTGTCCGACTGTTATTTTCTTTAGATGCTAGATATTGGTACAGAAATTCTGTTTTTTCTAGTTAATTGTAAAAAAATCATGCTTCAACGTACAATCTATATAGTCACAACATTTTTAATAAAAATATAACGTTTAAATGGGCGAAATAAATTTGCCAATTTCAAAAAAGTTGTGTCGATAAAGAAACGTTTATTAATAAAATAAATTATTAATTAAAATTAAATTTGTTATTATCATTGTTAAATTAAATAAATAAATCATTGTTAAATTAAAATTGTTATTATCATTTAGGAACTAGAGCTAATTAAAAAATATAGTTAAGTAATGAATTATAAATGGCAGATACTTTAGGATGAGCAATCATTAAAATAAAATAATTGATGGACTTGAAAGTAACGTGGCAAGAGCCTTGGCCTCAAACTTAATTAAAAATTATGGCGTTCTCCTAATAAATTAACACTTTGAAATGATGCCAATTAATCTTTAAAATTGTACTTAAATTCATGAAAATTCCAACTGCACATTTTTTACACAACAAACGAAACTTCTATAGGCAACTTTTTCTCGATTAAAGTTAATTTTAAACATGCTTTAATTGCTGAAAAAAAATTATTTACGAAGTTCATTCATTGGACATTACAAATCTAAACAATATGTCAATGTAAATTCTACAATATTAACATTATGGTGAAAAATATCATATTGGCATATCTTAGAGGATTAATGTATAAAATAAAATTTATGTAACAATTAAATAATCAAATTAATGGATTTGTTTCATTTAGTATTGTGGTTGACGAGAGAGCGAGCCTAAGATTCAGACAATGTTGAAAACGACAAGTTGAAGATTATAAATTAATTTTGAAGGCTGGCAATAATAATACCGAGTTGAAGAGTATGTGGCTGTTATTTTTTATTTGCAAATTATACCATTGTAAAAACACGCGGCGCTAATGATGTGTTTTTACCATGACGAATATTGGGGCCAAACTGTAAAAAAGGGCAAAATGAACAAGTTACAGAAGTCACTGTGTGACTTCTATGATTATGATTCTTCTTCTATGATAGGTAAAGAGTAGGTCTAGAAAGGGAAAGACTTTAGAGGAAAGATAAAGAAAGTCAAAGTTGAGGGGGAGAAGGATGAGTACGGCCAAAGCTATTGTGTAACGATTCAGGTGGGGGTTTGAGAGGTATATAAGCCGCTGGAGTAAGAGTAGAGAGTATCAGTTGTCATCCACCGTTTTACAATCATGCGCCTTTTTGTGGTGAGTGGTGTATTGTGACGCGTGTGTTAAAATCGTGTGTTAAAAAAATTAAGTGTGTTATTAAAAACGGTGTATGTTGCAGGTGGTAGCTTTGGCGGGTCTGGTACATGCGAAGCCCGAGGCCGGTTACTCGTATTCTGCACCTAGCAGTAGCTATGGAGCTCCATCTGGAGGAGGCGGTAACTTTTTAGGAGGCGGAGGTGGACACGGAGGCGGTGGATTCGGGGGCGGACACGGAGGCGGACATGGAGGAAGTGGTGGTGGATTCGTAGGTGGATTTTCGAGCTCTGGAAGCGGCTCATTCTCTTCCGGAGGATCGTTCAGCTCTGGCGGATCTTTTAGCTCCGGAGGCGGATTCGGAGGCGGATTCGGAGGAGGATTCGGCGGTGGTGCTCCCACTGTCCAGAAGCATATTTACGTTCACGTTCCTCCACCAGAGCCGGAAGTAGTGCATCACGCCAGGCCGGTACAAGCTCAAGCCGCACCCCAAAAGCATTACAAAATTATCTTCATTAAGGCACCCACTCCACCAACCCCAACCGCACCTGTCCTTCCTCAACTCGTCCAAGACCAAGAAAAGACCTTAATCTACGTTTTGGTAAAGAGGCCAGAAGACGCACCTCAAATCACAGTCCCGACCGCCGCTCCCACACAGCCCAGCAAACCGGAAGTATACTTCATCAGGTACAAGACCCAAAAAGAAACAAGCGCTGTCGGCGGAGGCGGTTCAGTGGGAGGTGGACTCGGAGGTGGACTCGGAGGCGGACTCGGGGGTGGACTCGGAGGAGGACTCGGTGGAGGTCTCGGAGGAGGTCTCGGAGGCGGACTTGGCGGAGGACTCGGAGGAGGCCTCGGAGACGGACTCGGAGGAGGTTTGGGAGGTGGACACGGAGGCGGACACGGTGGTGGACACGGAGGCGGACACGGATCTACCGGCCCATCGGGTCCCTCCACGTCGTACGGAGCACCCGGCGCATCTGGACCTTACTAATAACTTGTACAGATATTGTACAACCCTTTTGTATATTTTTTGTATATTATCGAGCAAACGAAAACACGGTGGCAATAAATGTATTTTTGTATAAAAACAAACCATTTTCTTCTTATTTCAACATAGCCAATAAATAACTTCCGTAAGTTTCCCTTAAGATACTTTCACAAAGTCTCTCAGCATTATCACGATTCTCCCACATAAAAGTAATACAAATAAATTTTTTGTTTTCAATTCTCTCACAATTTCCCTTTTGCATGTATTAATAGAAAGGAAGGAACAACTGAAAAAAATATCCATCGGCCCATTACCTAACTTCAAAGGCAGGTAAATTAAAAGGCGAAGTTAAACACTTAATATATTTTAAATATTAAAAAGTAGAAATTAAATAAACACCTTACCTAAATAGTTATGTAACGATGTTATGTAGGAAATTACTCGTTAAATTACATTCTCGTAGAATATAATTTACAGGAGTTATTTAACAAGTAACACTTCCTCCTATTTATAAGAAACATTAATTCGTACTATTAGAAGATTCTTATGCACTTTTCATATTAGGTAATTCAAATTTATTTCATATGCGTTACGTATATAAATTATTATAGAGGATTTTTTAACATTACTACCTTTTCCTCTATTTTTTAAATTTAATTTAAACCAATATTCAACAATTTATTTTTCAGCGAGGCGAACTCAAGTCTCGTCAAACCTGAGTATAAATATCTTGGTATCAACATCACTACCTCCCGGGAAATGAAGCATCACTGCAATGAGAAGGCCAGCAGCGCTAAGTATGCGGTTAATAGTCAGTGGCGCAAAATAATGACAAGCATGAAGATCTCACTAGAGAAAATAATTGTGATATTCAACAGCACCCTGAAGTCTGTAGTAAGTTACGGTGCGCATTTATACATGGAGAAAATATAAAGAGTTCAGAAATACTTTATTAAGCTCGGTCACACCGCTCTACAGCCTGCTTCTGAAATCATTTTACATGTTTTATTCAGAGAAAATCAGGTAAATAATTCTATTTGTATTGACAAATTCAGTAAAGGGTACAAATAAACAAAATAAAAGGGCAATATTGAACAAATATGGCTCTAAAATCTCACACACGTCAACGTTTCCCATTGAATTTGGAAAACGCATTGGAATGATTTGAAAAACGCAAAACCAGAGAAATCTATTATTTGAGACTTAATAAGTAATTAAATCATTCACATCACATTTTTTGTTTTTTAATTGTTTATTTGCATTGTTTATATTAATTGCGTTTGTGTGTGTTTGTGTGTTCATTTTTCTTGTCAATAGTCATGTGACGCCTAAGTGGTTGTAGTTAAGATGGTTGGGCAGGGTCAAGTGTTGTTTTATGGCTAATATGTATTTAAAACGTTGACTCATGAATAATCAATTATATTAGCAAATACTTTACATCTTACAAAATATAAATGTACAAAATTTTTTGATGGGTCTAAAGAGTTTCGGCATTCCTTCCATAAAATAGGTGGTTTCTCTTGGCTACGGCCTATCTTACATTCACCACATCATTACCAGTATAAAGTGAACAAATTTAAAAGTGAAACAATACGATTTGTACTCACGAGAATGCCTGTTTATACAAGAAATAACAAAAACTAAAAAGTAGACAATAAGCTAATAAATGAAAACATTCAATACATATTTAAAAAGATGTAGATAAGATTGATGTAGTTTAAGATATTCTAAATCTATTGTGTCCGGATGTGACTGTACAAATACAAAAAAAGAAAAAAGAACAATTACTTGAATATTTATCTATCCAAAATAGTAGAACAATAAATTAAGAAACTTTAAAAGGGTCACTTTGGGTGAGCTCTGTTCACATATCTTCTGGTTTGGTTTTGGTCTCACCACTTATTGTTATTTATTTTACTATTGTAATTTTATTTAAATGCTAAACCCAATAAAAAATGAAATAATCATAAACTATAAAAATGAAAAATATGGTTATAAAATAGACTATAAGTTTCTTTTAAAGAAAAGGTTTGACGATAAACCGAAAAAGGAAAAAGAAGAATTTCTCCAAGAAATTTCCAACATCCAAAGAAACGAGCACTCAAAGTAAACTGTAACCACAACCAACTTTTATCCACGCCCCTAGTGGAGCAATGGAGCAAAAGAGAGAATGTTTTAAGGATTTTTTGTATTTATTTATTGTTATTCTCACAAATAAATATACATTGTGTAAATAGCATAAATAATTATATACAAATCTGCCAGATCTGGCAGATCAGGAGGCAATGGGAAGAAAAATTAGCAAGTGCTGGAATTCTCTTTTATTTAGTCGGGAGGGGCTTTAAACGGCGTGGAGGATTATAAATCTGTGTTATTGAGGAAAGAGTTTGAGATAGTATAGGGAGGAGAATAGTTTAGAGTGGAAATTGAGGAAGCGTAGTCGGATCAGATCGACGAATGTAATTCTAAAATCTAAATGGATCATGGTCTTTTTTGCTCGTTCAACCTGATGCGCCACCGAGGAGGGCTCCAATCAGTAATGAGGTTCAGATGGCTTCTGTGAAGAATAGAACTGGAGTGTGTAGAAACGATTGCGGTTTCGTCCGCATAGGTTGTGAGTTGTATGTTTAGATGAGTAGGTATGTCAGTAGTGTAGATGTACGATTGGACCTAGGATAATTCCTTGCGGAACGCCTACTTATATTGGCGTGATGGATGAAAACTCGGTGCCGATTCTCACTTAAACCATTGATCCGAGAGGAAGGACTTCAAGATGAGATAGTAGGTTTGTGGGGGATATGTTTTAACTTACAAATGAGGCCAGGGGGTTAATTTTCTAGAGCGAAGAACATCGTGTCGATCTAATCTGAACGCTGGGCACTAGAATGAAGGGATCCAAATTAATGGTTGGGAATTGAGTTTTCAGAAGCGAACTCAGGAAGGAGCGAACTCCTCTTCGAAGGAGGATGAAATAAAAAGGAGTCTTATCAGGGGAAAATAAGAATTATATGTCTATTGTGTGAGTTTTCAACTGATAATAATAGTACTAACTTTTAAAATTGCTTTCATAAGATGTTTATTTTCGCAAACGATTTTATCTTTTCTTGCTCACATCGTGACCACCTAAACGCCTTAGTTGAATGAGGTCAGATCCTACTGTGCCATTATTTAATTTGAAGAACTGTTTATTATATCAATTAGATAGTGGTGGTCCGGTTAAAAGGTTGGGATGTTGTTGGATTGGAATTTCCCAACATTAAATTAGAAACCGAGATCTTACACTGGAACCTACTCGGGCGTGACTCGAGGCACCTAGATTAATCCTTTTGGTGTTATCTATCGGCGATGTTCACTGCAGGGGTTAAAGGTTTGAGAGAGTAATTATGAATTAATTTCCGTAGAAACTCACCAAGAGATGAGAGGATACAAATGTGACAAGAAAAATTAATGTAGGCATGCTAGAGGCTTAAGAGAAATCGACTGCCAAAAAGGTTTAGGAAGGTAGTTTTCTTTCTTCCTCAAAAGGGAATAAAGGTAAGAATGATCAATGTTAAGACGCGGACTTATTTTATCGTCTTGTTTTCAGGTCACAAAGACGAGGAGAGTGAATTCGCGAATACGTTCACGACATACAAAAGTATGCATCTATATTGGGGAAATACTCGAACGAAGAAATTTTGGACATAATATTACCAGAAGAATTAATACATTGCATAACATAAGAATACATTTCCTCGATTGTTAGTTCTCCCTGTCCATCATGGAAACGAAAACTATTCTTGGTAATTCTTCATCTTTGTCGAATTGATGATCACACACACAAGCGCGCGCGAGAGGAGAGAAAAATGTTTTAATATGTTCGTTGGGTCCAGTTTGGCGTATTTGGTATTGTCGTTAGCGCACTCTGTCCTTTTCTGTACTGCTTAGTTCGTTAATTTTAATCGAGTGGTTCGTCTCCGAAAAAGAATCTCTTCTGTCTTTCTGCCTTTCTTGCATTTTATTCCTTTCACTTTCTTTTCATGTTTATCCAGCCATGTTATAGGTGTTTTATATGTTATATAAGAAGCCTACTTTGTCTATGCTTGAACAAACAATTGATTATAATCTTTTAAAAGAACATTGGATAAATCAATGAATCAATGTTAAGACGCGGACTTATTTTATCGTCTTGTTTTGAGGTCACAAAGACGTGGAGAGTGAATTCGCGAATTCGCTCACGACATACAAAAGTATGCATCTATATTGGAGAAATACTCCAACGAAGAAATTTTGGACATAATATTATCAGGCGCTAATCAAGATACCCGCGCGCGATTTTTGTACCCTGACGGACCCAATCCCTAGAACAAATAGATTCCCTGATTTTACAGGTTGAACGACTGGAAGTTTCATCGAAAGCCGATCAACCACACGTAAATAATAATAGCCGATATAGGTCAAATCCCCAGAAATCATATGATGGTTATCAGGTCTATCATAGGAAACCAGGTTTCTATTATAAGGAGTTCAGAACTGATGATAATCACGGTCACTCTAATAATTTTCTCAATTATAACCAGTACAAACGAACAACTAATAATTTTAACCAAAAAATCTAAATAAAGAAGTTACAAAAATCCAAGTAATGATTTTAAAAGAAATAATCCCCAAGTGAAGTAAGAAGTATAAGCAAAATGGGTCACCAGTTAAAGAAAGGATATACCCTATCAACAGCTTAGAATTGAGTTTAAAAAAAGAAATATAATCTCATTGGACATTATGATGTTGATTAGGATTCGGGCTGTGGTCTTCAAACATACAATGTTATATCAATGCCCAAGCTTTCGACAAGTTTCATTGTCTTCTGCAGGGGATCTACAGAGGCACAGGAAAATAGGTAGGTAGTAATAAATTATTTTGTCAATTTGTTGCTACGGGTACAAAGTCACAACTTAACCATATTATACAAATTTGTCATATACATATATATACGATAGTCAAACGCCTGTGATACATACCTATCATATGTACCTGAAGTATACAATTTTTAAAAAACAACAAGATCTTAATTTCAAGTATTAGTAATGTTATCACAGCCTTTTATAATAAATAAATATATATGTATGCATGTATTGCTACGATTCTCGGAGGGGGGCCTTGTCTTTTTCTAGAATCCCACTGTATATCAACTCAAATTATTCAAATCCGTTTTTAAATTACATGCCATTTTATCTTGATGAATATGTATCATTTCTCTTAAAAGTCTACGACCTACCAAAGGGTTGCAAAGTGCGACAGTCGACCAAACTATGTTTTACAGTCAGAATGATACGTTCTTCACTTCGCATAAATCGAGGACAAGTTGGAAGGTTGTTGCCTATTAAAATCCTATTATGGATTAGCCTGATGTGACTTATTCGCAATCTAGAGAGAATCACAAGTTCTTTTTCCTCAAGTTCCTCAGTTGGCCATTTATGTAAAACTGGCTTAATTTCTTTCATACTATCTCTACAGACATATTTTTTATTTATTTTATTTTATTTATTTTATTTTATTTTATTTTTTTTTTTTTTTTTGACAGGGGCATCCTGCAGCTTTTTCATTTCAGCTCCGAAGCACTAGCAAAATACCTCTACACAATCATGCCTTGCCATACATTGATCCGCTCATACTGTTTGGTAGTTGGAGTAATTGATATTCCTTCATCTACCTGTTCACTACAATAGACTATTCTAATTTGGGGTCGATGGGTACTTTAAAAGTTTTCCGCCGTAGACCCAAGTCACGCACGCAACGTGAGGGGCGATGGAGATGCTACTTCACCATCAGCTCCTCCCCATTCACACGAATAAAAACATTAACACCAACATACATTGATCACACTCATACTGTTTGGTAGATGGAGTATATTCCTCCATCTACCTTTCACTACAATAAACTAATTTAAATTGGGGTCGATGGGGTATTTTATAAAATTTCCGCCATCGGCCCAAGTCATACACACAATCTGAGAGCCGGTGGAGAAGCTACTTGGCCATCAGCCCCTCCCCATTCATACCAATAAATACATTCACTTATACAAGACTCAGAAACCCATAACTTAACTTATACATACAATAAAAAATTCCCAATTCCCTTAAAAAGCGGAAAAGGGGACCCTCAAATTCGCTGCTGTGTCCGAGAACCTTCTTTTAATCTGGCGGCATGCCTACTCGAACTAATGTAGGGAGCCAAGGCACGATACGCTTCGACTATGTGGGACACATCGAGCAACCTTTCTCTGCGTAACGGACACCTGAGGGGGATTGGCCCACCAGCAAGTGCCCATGTGTCAGCCGAGTATAACCTACTCTTAATCTGGTAAGAACTATTCCTTCTTTACAGCATAGATCCTCGGGGGGGCCATCTGCAGGTCGTGCACTTAACACGAAGGAGCCTCTCGGATGACCCTGCCCACTGACGCTGACATTTATCCCTTATCATCTTTTTTACAGCTCGCTTAGCTTCAGAGGGCCTGATCGCGATGGCCTGGTCGGGAGAGTGAGCCATTCCGGCTTTCGCCGCCGCCTCTGCGCGTTCGTTACCCTCCAGACCGACGTGTCCAGGGACTCAGAAAACAACCACGTTATTCCGAGGCGCTCCAATTCGGCATATCTTTCTAGCAAGAGCACGGCCAGAGGGTCCACAGAGAATCCGTTACGCAGAGCCCAAACAGCGCTCAGAGAGTCGGTACACACGAGGAAAGCTAAACCTTCCTTGGTCCGCACCGCCTCGGGAGCGTGTCAAATCGCGTACAATTCTGCTGTGTGTACGCTGCAGTGAGGTGGCAACGACTAAAACATGGCCCCTCCCTCACTATACACGGCACACGTCACACCATCGTCGGTCCTCGACCCGTCTGTAAAAACGAGACGAAAACCGGCGTATCTGTTTTTGTGTTCATAAAACTTAGCTTTGTAGAAGTATGGCGGTGTATACGATTTGGGCAACTTCGACTAATCGTCACGTACGAGTACGGCAGGAAGGGTCCAGGGCGTCGTAGGTAGACGAAGCACCGTCCCCAGGGCCAGTCCAGCTCTTCCTAGAGCTTCACCTTAGCGAATCCCGAGGGGTCGCGTCCGCGTTCGAAGCAAGTCGTAGATATCTCTATACGGGCATTGAATGATCGCTCAAGCCAGAGGATGCCACGGCTTAGTCAAGGGCGAGTCGTTCCTTCCGCAGTTCGGGAGGCAAAGACCCCCAGTTCGCAGCAGAGGCTGGCCAAGGGGCTGGTTCTGTACGCTCCCGAGATTGCACTCAGGCCCTGATAATAGAGCCTATCGAGCTTTCTCAGTCGCGTTTTACGGGCCGAAGAATAGGCCATACATTATAAAAGATCCTCAAACAGAACAGCGAGTCGAACATTTTTATTAGGGTCCACCTAAAGTGACCCAACAATCTTAAACAGTGCGAGGGTTTTACTGCTCCTGACCTCAGTGGCGTCGATGTGGGGCTGCCATCTCAATTTCTCATCAAATAGGAGACCGAGGAACCTCACCGTCTCAACGTACCGTAGGGGTACGCCCTCCTGCAGAAGTGGACCCACACCGTTTTCGGCGTTGAGAAGGCAAATCCGGTTTCCTCGGCTCTCGCGGCCACTACGTCTATCGCCTATTGCATCCTACCGCCAACCTCCGCCAGATCCATACCTGAACGGTAGAAGCAGAGGTCTTCGTCAAAGAGCATTCTCCTTATCTGCGGAGGGACGCCGTTAGCGACACCGTTCACCGCAATCGAGAAAAGCGCAACGTATACGCAAATGCGTATTACTTGAGGTCTCTTTGGGCTCAGCGTTCCTTTTAATAGGATTTGTTCAGTTTTTTCGGATGCTAATTACAATTTGACTGTGCTGCACCATTTCTGTACTAACTAAACTGCTACGTTCCACGAGCTTCGCGCATTGACTTACTTTCGGCTGGGATGATCACAATCAGGTCATCAACATAAGCTTTGTCCTTGAAATATTTATCCTCAAGGGCGGGGGCAAGGAGGAGTGGATGGTTGGGGGGAGTTGAACGGAGTGAAGGGGTAGAGGGATATGGGTCTGGGTGGCAGAGGGACCTTCCGGATTCTCATGGGACAAATACTTCAGGGGATTTGGGGAGGTGGGAGTGTTGAGTTGGGAGGGGGTGTTGTCGGGTTGGTCGGACCCGGGTTAGGCGCAGTAGGAACTTTTACCTTTGTTCCATTTTGTTCAACATTTTTATCGTCAATAGTTTTGTGTTTTGTCTGTAAAGTGGTATGTGTACCATGTGAATGCAATCCTCAGCCTTTGGAGATGATCCCCCCCCGGCCCATTCGGGTGCTTCTCCAATCTGTGCCAGCACGGTAACCATCCAGTCGGTCGGTCCAAAATCTTGGGGTTTGTGAACAAGTACAAGAGATTTATGCAGGTCACGTGAGCCGACCAAGTCCGGGACCTTTTAAGGATGGGGTACGAGTCTACCCAGGCATTTATTTATCAGGAGATCTCCCCCTCTAGATGAGAATTTATGTCGTTTTTAGTGTTTGCACACGGTATTTTGCGTTTGTTACTTTTGAGTTCCAAGGCCCTTGGTCGCGTGCATCAACCTGTGTATTGGTGGTGGCGTGTCGACAGGGGGCTCGGACAACCCCATCAAGGGGGTGCATCAAGTCCCAAGTGCAGCCACCTAGTGTGAAAGTGTAGCAGTGTTGTCCGTACTGGGTCGCCATTTCCAGTACGTAAGACCTTGAGTTCGCCTCAGGAACCTTCCTAGGAGTGGTAGCCCTAGGGTATATATATCATTATTGGTTAAGATAAAACAAAAATATTCTACGTCAAGGCACATTATAATTTGGGTATGTGTAATATTTAGTGACCGTTAAGTAATGATTATTTAAAGATGCGGTGGATAATGTTGTCTGATTTAAAAGGTAAATCAACAAAATAAGTATTTTTTTGCATATTTTAACGAACATTCTGTAACCAAAGTAAATCAGAAAATGGTCAAAACTTATATTTACCTCAATGTCGTAATTATCGTTATAAAATCTTTAGGTATGGACTTTCGCGGAAATCGGTGTAAATTATTTTTTTAATGATAATTTCGACGACCTTCTGCCATTCTGACATTCCAAGTGCAAGCTTTAACAACATTTTTCTCCAAACCTAGGAACCCGATTTCATGGTTGATATTTCCTTTTAAACAAATCGTCAATTCCATTTTATGACTTTATAAACATTAAAATCAGACTATTATTTCAATTTAAAAAAAAATGTCACTTTCAGACAAATTTTGTTATTTTGTGTATTTTCTTATATATTAATGGTACAGGCGTCGTTAAAAAGCTCCGTTACTCTTCTTTCAAATAGCCCCTTTGGCGTTACAATAATTTCAGCGGATCTTGAATTATAGCCGTTTCAACCAAACATTCCGATAACGACTTCTCACTTGTAACAAAACGATAAATTTAAATTTGAAACTTCTTCGTTCTTAAAAACTAAACTTCATATTTAGGAATCTATAGACGTGCTAAAACGAAATTCCATACTAGTCTCACGAAAAAATTGTGACCTAGTTTACTTGAAAAATATTTGGTTTTTCGACATTTTTGGTTATTAATAAAATTTGATAGCTTTAACTCTTTTTTTATTGTAATCCAAATAAAACATGCTTTAAATTATATATTGTCATAGTTGATTTGAATAAGTAGAACGTGAAAAAATTTTTAAAAAAACGAAAAATTTCAACTTAAAACAAAATTGACTCAACGAAAGCATATTCGTAAGAAATGGCGGATATGTGTCCGATATTTTGGAATGTAGAATCACTAAAAAATTGTTTGGTCCAAATTTCTGTCCACCAACTTGGTCATCCCCTTGTGAGTTGAAAAGAATAAATTTACAATCCGCGAACCAGTTCTTAATGTTCTATTCTTTCAAATAATTCGATTAATTACGAAAATGGATTAACAATGTAAAATAGTTGTTTTCGTTGTTTATATTGTCTTTTTTGTGTGTGAATGTTTTCGTGTCAATTTTTACTCTGTTGTTGTCGTCATTGACAGCGCGACCGTCGGTAGCGCTCCACTGCTCGCTCACGGCAACACTGAACACAGCCGAGCGGCCGAGCCGTCATACTGTAACCGAACGGAGTTTACGCTTGGCTCGGAGTCTGACCGTATACAAATGGTCCAGTCAGTTTTTCATTAGGCTCCAGTCAGGCGTTGGTCGTTGATTTCTGTCAAAATGTCAGGCCAAAAGCCCGAGGCGAATTACACGACGATGAAAACCGTTCTTTCGGTAAGACAATGCCCACAAATTTCCGGCACAACGCCGTCTCCCCACGCCACACTTCTAACTGGGCGCGTCTTTCATTTCTTGAAATTTCATTTAATTCTAGGCGGAAGTCAATACGGCCTTCGACACCGGCGAACTCGACGGATTGAAATCCAAGTGGAATTCTTTCGAAACCAAGTAAGTGAAACAATTCGTCACAACCGATTCGGAGACTTTAGCCTTTATCCTTTATTCCCGTTAAGATTAGAAACCTATTATCACATTTAGGATCCTTCAAATAATAAATACAACTTGTCTGTAAGCAATAAGCATTGGTTGGAAGTATCACCAACTTGACGATAAACAGCTAAGATGGCTGGGAGGGGTGCTTACTGTTTACCACGCTGACAAGCCGGCTTCCGCCAAGCAACTTTGCTAAATATGTACCTCAATCACAATTTGTTATATCTCATTTTGAACCGCACTACATAAAGTTAAAATCAAACAACGCTTCTTTTTTTAAATGTAAATATTTGGAATTTTTCCATACTCAATTGAAATTCCACCTACATATTAAGACTAAAATAATAGACAAATCAGCTGGGCTTGTCATAGATTTTTCAGATATTAATGTATAATTTTCTTTTCTTATTTTAGAACTTACTCTTGACACTTTTTATGCTTATTTAATTTTTCAACGTTGTAAACATTGCTTGGCAATAAAATCCACAATTATCAGTAATAATGGCAAAAAGTGAGCAGTGTTTACCATGTTGCCAAGCTGGCTTCAGCCAAGCAACTTGGTCAAATATATCCTTCAACCATAATTTGTTATATTTAATTTAGAACCATATATTTAAAATCAAACAAAGCTTTTTTTCATATAAATATATGCAATTTTTCAATACCCAGGATGTTCATAAAATTGAAATATCACCTATTTAATACTGGAACAACAGACAAATCAGCTGAACGTGTCATAGTTATTTCATACATTCCTATTTTGATGTACTATGTATTATTTGTTGTTGTTCCCATATTTATTTGTTATTTATTGAAATATTTTAGGTATCTTTTTTATTTATTTTTTGTTAGAATATGTATTCAAATGGATTAACTAGCAAGAGCTATTAAAATAGATAAATTTATAATAAGAAAAATATTTCCCTAGCTTTCTAGGGCCTTTTAGGGCAAGGCCGGAGGAAGCTGTTAAGTACCTTAAGGTCCCCTAAATTTGCAACCATAGAAACTAATTTAGTGGCCATGGTCTGCCGGTATGGTGACTCCCTTATGTATGACAAAGAGTTGGATGGATATAAAAAGATATTCCCATATTATTTTATTATTTAATAATTATTTTAAAATTATTATTAAATCATTTTGTTGTTTCATTAGCATTCTTACTTGGGAATAACATCCATAATTATCAATAATGATACGAAGAATTTAGTATTGTACAATTTACCTTGCTGTCAAACCCTCTTCAGCCAAGTAACTTGTACAAATACTAAAATTATAATTTATTAAAAACTGCTCAAAAATGAATAGGGATATTTGTAATTTATTCATTCTATTAATTTTAATTAAATTAACCGTTATATTCTTGTTAGTTGGATAAAACAAAATGGAAAATACAAACCAAAAACAAACAAATTTTTATTGACAGATTTACTTAAAAATAGTAAACATGATGATTACTCATTTTGTAAACAAAACCTTTTCTCATCTTTCCTTCTTCATTTTAATCCAGTTGTATCCTCCTTAACCATAGAAAGACATCAACTTGATCCAGAAGTCTGCAATGTTATTGTGAGAATGAGTAATCGAGTCATGGCAAGTGGATATCACAGAGGCAGTTGGTGTTTCTCAGAACGTGATCTACTGTGCTTAGCCCAATTCTGAGTGACTGGAAGTGCTAATAGGAGGCCTGGTTGTGAATCTCAGTGCATTACAATGCTAAGGGAGGTCTTGCTGCAAGACGAAACCTTTTCGATCCCCCCCCCGCCAGATCCGAAATGTAGTACAAGATGTTTTGGCAAGGCCTTTATCAGTACAAACAATACATGATCATGAGTACAATGCCCCAGTTGTGCTTCCTTCAGAGCAGTGTGGAAGAGGTGGTGTAATGGATTGGGCTGGGATTTACACTGGAGGACCACTGGACTCCATATTGTTGAAGGCAACCTCATTGCAGTCCGTTATGTCAAAGAAATTATCGAGGAATACATCCCTCAAACCAGGGATCACATTGGGAGGGATTTTTGATCTCTGGATGACATTGCCAAACCTCATAGAGGCAGAATTGTTAATCAATGTTTAGAAAACCTGGGAATTTCCCATCTGCCCCTTCCCCATTGTCGTAACAACTGAGTGCAGAGTTTCAACTTCTATGGAGTGAAATTCCTAACAAAATTAGTGACAACCTTATTACCTATATATACCTAACAGGTGCACAGAGGCTTAAAAAAAATATTTTGTCCAATAAACAAAATTATGGAATTAAAACCTTTTATTTTGTTATTTTTCAAAATCCCTTAATTATCTTTTCCTTCAGTAAAAAACTATAATTTCTTATGAATTTTAATGCAATTTTTAATCAAAACAAAATAAAAACGTTAGAGAAAGTAAATACTTAAAATTGGCAATATCCCTATTCATTTTTGAGCAGTTTATTTCATTCAGGACACACAATAGTTAACTAAAACCAAACATAACTTTTTTAAATGTATGTATACATCTTCAAAATGGTTATTGCTTGTCTGTCCAGAAAGTTTGTACATTTATATATAATTTTTTCTTCTTGTTTAAGTATATTTTTAACCCTTTTAAAATTGATATTAATTCCTGTCGCTTGTATAATTCAATTAACTAATACATTTTCTAAAGTTGTGAGCATTTCTTGGAAGTATTATTTTCTGCACAGTTATTAGTACATTGTCAGGAAGAAGTTAGTATTTGTTACCTTGTTCACTAGTTCAATACTGAATTATTATATTTATTTCAGGGAATATAAAATTAAAATCAATAAGTGTATAGTGTTTGATTATTTTCTTATTGCAAGATTATCTCCTTATGATTTATTTAATTATTCAAAGTTTTAAATATCTACAATTAGCAATAATGATGATGAGAAATATGCACTGTTTATCATGTTGCCAATTTTGATGTCAATAGGCAACAACCAGTTAAACATGGAGAGATGGAATAACAGACAAATCAGCTGAATAAAAATGTTGTCCAATTTTTCAGACTTCTTTGTATATTTCTTTTTTTCCTTGTTTACATGAATAAGGCTACTATGAATTCTAGCCGCAAGCATTATTCAATTAACCACTGTATTTTCTAAAGTTGTGATATATGACATTGCTTGGGTATATTACTTCCTGCCCAATTGTCAGAAATGATAGCAGGACAAATTTATTAAGCTTGCTTAAGTCAAAAAGCTTATTCAAATAAGGTTAAAGTATCTTTCAGGCTTTGGCTTTTCTTCCCCCATGAGTATGAATCTCAGCCTGCATAGACTTTTATGCCCACAGAGGACACAACAGTTATTAATTTGGACTCCTTTGTTGCCCTCGGCCCTCTCGAGAGAAAACACGAACTTTTTTATTTTTCTTGAGCTGAACTGCGAAGGAGTCTGACCTATTGGTGGTAGTGAGTAATTTTTTTAAAAATGTGAATTTGTTTACCTTATATTTCTTTGAATTGTTTTTTATGTATGATTCCTATATTGATTGATATTTGGTTCAATTGAATTTGTAAGTGCCAAACTATCAATGTTTATTTTCATTTTGAACAAACTCGAGCTAAAGAGTTTAAGCTTTGCGTCTATTTTATTTTTTAATTTTGAAAATTAATTGGGGGAAACAATCCTGTTACAATTACCCGCAATAAAAATGTTATCATCGATTTATTTTAAAATTTCTTGATTGTTCTGTGCCCAACAAAATTTAAGCAGCCATAAGACGTGGAAATGCAATTAATGGTACTACCTTCACCAATGCAGTATCTAATTTTTTTCCTGATTCTCATAGTAATGAATGACAAACTGCCTAGTGGATTAAATGTAATAGGCATTCGGGGTGTTCTGTACAGGCTGGCATTTAGTTTTTTGTTTGTTTTTTTAGTTTCTGCTTTGTTCATCATAGGATGTGTCGGTGTTGTTTGTGATAAACTTTGAGCTTGGTAAACAGCTTCTGCAGATGCACGATTTGTTGAATGTTTTTGTCTATTGGCGATGAGAGTTTTATCTTCTGTTTGTTTTAAACATTGATATTTGAGATGTTGATACGATAGATTTTTTTTTTTTTTTTTTTTTTTTTTTTTTTTTTTTTTTTTTTTTTGTCGTTGACAAGATGGATTATATAATGTAGGTTTCTATGTAGAGGGGTTGCATTAAAAAATTTAATATTGTCGCAATTGCTATTGTAAATGTAATTTCGATTATTGTAGATGATGGGATTTGGTCTGCGAGTTGGTGAACTCATGTTGAACCAGAATACGCACGCTACTGGGTCTGTCTTCACTCACGGGTTTTTTGTTTGAGTTATTCAAATGCGTTTCAGCATTTTGTTTCAGTGTTGAAAGTTTCTCACTGAAGATGGCGCAATGCCATATTTTTATTTTCTATTTTTAAAAAATTATTACCAATTTCTCGCATTCTTAAGGCTTAATCCTCTTTTGGAAAAACTTTACTGTGTTTTGGATTGCTTCTTGAACCTTTAGGTATGATTGTGTGTACAATGAAGAATACAAAATATTATATAAACCTCATTTGAGTTGTATTTGAAACACATAAAATAAAATTAAAAATAGATGTTTATGACATGCATTAACATAACTAAATTAATAAATTTAAAAAAAGAACTGTTTAATTATTATTATTACAATTAAAAATATATTTTGGAAGTGTTGTTAGAAATTAAATTTATACTTCATATAAAATGTGTATGTGTGTACAATTCAGTATTATTGGACACATGTCGAATGCACTGTTACCACTTTTTTTTTTTATCGTGGATGATTCCCCTTATAACAGGACATTTGCCCCCCAATTAATTTTCAGAATAAAAAAAATAGTCGCAAAGCTTGATCTCTTTAATTCGAGTTTATTCAAAAGGAAAACAATGAACAATTATAGTTTGGCACTTACAAACTCAAATGAATCAAATAGAAAACAAAGGAATCTCACACAAAACACAATTCAGAGAAAAAATGAAATAAATACCCATTTTAAAAAAATTGCCTCACCGCCTTGATTAATATTAATATTTGCAGATTGGTCAGACTCATTCGCAGTTCAACTCAAGAAGGTAAAATCTTTCTCCTCGCCCTGAGTCTCCCAAGGAGAAATGAGGGCACACGAAGGAGTCCAAAATTAATAACTCTTAAACTTTTTTCTGACATATCTGTACCTGGTTGTTTCTGCTGCTCTGAATTTATACATCTGACTGGAGTCTGCACTGTCCAGTCAGCAGTCCTAATTTCATTCCCTAGCATGTCGTAGATTTAGTAGTTCTGCCATTAATTTTTACTTTGATCCCTTTATGTACTTAAACTCTTTGAACAATCTTTCAAGTAGTAGAAAATTTTATTGTATTGGGTTGTCCGGAAAATAATGCAGGATTTTAAGTTTTCATTAAAAAAAATCTATATAAAATATTCTGTTTACGTTTACAGGATTACTCATTTGTNCGAATTTATAAGTTACCAACACGTTGGGAGAAATGTATTGAGAGTATGGGAAATTATTTTGATTAAAGAACATTGCTTTAAAGTAACTAGTTTCTTTTTTTTTTGTTTAATACCAAAATCCTGCATTATTTTCCGGACAACCCAATATTTAATTCAAGACTGTACTCGCACTAGTTTCATTCAATTACTCAAAGTTGTAAAGGTTGCTTGGAAGTAACTTACTGCACGATTATCAGTTAATGATGGTGGTGAGAATTAAGCACTATAGTGACAAGCTGACTTTGGCCAAGAAACTTGTAAAAATTCCATATTACAATTTAATTTCTTTTTTTAATGACCATTGTATAATCTGGTAAGTATCATAGCTTTTTGGATTAATCCTTCATATGTTTAGCAGTCATAATTGACCGTTTTAATTGTTTCAATTAATTATACCTTAGATAAAAAGTCTTGGTGGAAATGAAAAAGCTAATGTCATGAGCGGGATTCGAACCCACAACCTTCAGCTCGATATGCCGCTACTCTAACTAGTGGTCAAGTGGTTAGAGCAGTGGCATATAGAGCTGAAGGTTGTGGGTACGAATCCTGCTCGTGACACTAGCTTTTTCATCTCAGCCGAGACTTTAAATAAAAAGTATAATTAATTGAAACACTTTTTTAGTTAAAAAAGATGACAAGAAATGCTTTTAGTTACCAAAAAATAGTTTATTCTCTGCATTTTTTTAAGTCTATTATTTTTAAACATTAAATGTTCACATAATAAATAAATATTTCTTAAGTGGTAAAGTTTTCTTGAAAGTAACATATATTTCACAGTATGATGAAAGGGAAGCAAAAAGTTCTCCATTTCTTGTTGAGTTGTAAAAGAATTAACATTATTAAACTTGACTTGCATGACTGTTAGAAAAGGCTGGGATAGTGCTTATTGTTTACAGCCCAGACAAAGCCATGAAGAAATGTCACAACATAAGATCCTCTTTCACAGAGGAACAATGTTTTCCCCCTTCAAACAAAGTAATGTGTATTTATTTATTTAATGGGCAATTTGCTATTTTAGGGAAGCAGAGAAACGCACAGCACTTGAACAGGCCTTGCGAGACAAGGTTATTGAGTTACTATACGATGAGAACAGAACTGTTGACACTCTCAACAAATTCATGGAGTTTCTTCTTCTGCTTTGGAATAATGAACTTGTGTTCCCGCTCACACCGGTCTCAATAATAGGAGACATTTTGGATTCGACGCCAATACCGTTGAGCGAAGTGTTGTTTGAATTTGTCGAAAAACGAGTCAGCCTTTGGAAGAGTCAGCCATTTTTTACACCTTGTAAAAACAATATATTGAGAATGTGCAATGGTCAGTTTTGCCATTTTTCCAACTCTTATGAGTATGATAACATTCCCATTTTACTTTTAGACTTGTTGCGAAGACTTTCAAAAGCTCAAAACACTGATTTCTGTGGTCGGATTTTACTCTTTCTCGCAATGTTCTTCCCATTTTCGGAAAGATCTGGTGATTATATGGACATATAATATTTCAATCCAGTCATTCCCTATAATATTTAATCATATTTAATTTCAGGTCTTAATATTGTTAGTGAATTTAACATAGACACTTGTATGAAATATGGCATTGAAGAAGATGATCTCATAGAAGGAGAACCTCTTCAAACTGTAGATATTCCGTAAGAAATTGCTATTTTTTTAAATGTTACAAACTGTATATTTAATAATGCTAATTTTACAGGATTAAACTAGATACAAATTTTTATTCCGAGTTTTGGTCACTTCAGGAATATTTTAGAAGCCCAATGTTATGCTACCTCAAGAAACAGTGGAAGGATTTTGTAAAGGTATTTTTGTTTCTTTTGCAGTTTTAAAACTCAGTAATAAATTCATTGTTCGTTTTTGTAGAATTCTAATGCTGTTTTGACTGTTTTCAAAAATTACAAACTTGATTGGGACGCTGAGACAAGCAACATGCGAACAAGTGAAGACAACTTCTTTACAAAATTTTTGACCAATCAGAAGCTACTGCTTCTCCAGCTAAATGACACAAATTTTAGAAGGACAATATACCTTCAGTTTTTAATACTGTTCCAGTTTCTATCTCTGCCCAAACCTAAGTAATAATTTTGCATTTTATTTTGGATTTGGATTTTATGGCAATTTTACTAATCATCTATTGTGTAGAGATAGTCATACGTTAAAATCAGATCAACTAGAGTGGGTGAAAACATCGGCTGAAAGTATTCACCAGTTGATAAAGGAATCGCCGCCAGATGGTGAAAAATTCTTACAAGCCGTACAGCTTATATTAAAGGTGATAACATAATGCTTTAGATGTTAATTGTTTTTTTTATTATATTTTTAATCTTACAGAGAGAAGAGCACTGGAGCAATTGGAAAGGTGAAGGTTGCCCCCCTCTTAAAAAAATAACTCAAAATTATGATAAAAATGCAGTAATCAAGTCACCGCCTAAAAAGGAAACTATGGCAAATGTATTGCACCAGACTAACAATTTTAATAAATTAATTGTCCCAAGGTATTTCCTTTAATTAAATATTTTCATTTTGTAATATTATTTTTTATACAAGTAAATAATTTCAGGTCTGACAGACTTGAAGTGATCGATATGAGGCAAGATTATTTAAAATATCTCCCGGGTAGAAATTGCAGCCCTCAAGTAACTGATTTCTTAGCAGAGTGTATACAACAGAGCGAGTCTCCAGAGCCTATTGATATCAAGGACAAGTGCGATTGTGTTTTACCGTTTCTTTACCCTCTTGGATACAGATGAAAATAATGAAAGTGCTATATTTTATTTACAGGAAAGTTAGTGATCCCCAGTACGGTTGGATTGCATTAAAGCTCCTTTCTCTAAAATCACCCCATTTCTTCTCAACAAACACCCAAAACCCAATACCAAAACTACCTGAGTTTGTAGATCATATATGTAGAAAAATTTACAGGGAACAGAATCCAGGCCTTTTGCTACCTCCTCTGTTGCCAGCCCCTAAAACAATCTCAAAGGCTGAGGCTAAAAAAGAAGGAGTGAAAGTGTTAAAAGGTGTTAATTCTAATGAAAGTAAAGTTCAACAGATAAAATTACAAAAAGGCCAGATCAAAATTATAAAGACCCAAAGTGGGAAACTAATTAAATTGAATGCTGTCACAAACACACCAATTAAAACGATAAAATTGGGTGATAAAACCAGGCAAATTGCCTCTACTGCAGCCAAAAATGAAAAATTATCCAAATCCCCGGAGAAAAATTTAGAAAAGTTAAAATCAGAATCAAATGACAAAACTGAATCAAAAGATAAGATGGACAAATCTGAAAGGGTGGAAAAAGAAAAATCTGAAAGACACGATAAAGTTGAAAAAACTGATAAAACACTTTCAAAGGTGAATGAAAAATCAGACAAAGACAACCACAGTCACGATAAACATCCACAAAAACTGACAAGTAGTAAAGTGTCCAATTCAGACAAGTTAGAGAGGAATGACAAACATGAAAAGAATATGTCATCGACAAAAGTGGATAAATCGAAGATAGAAAAAGAAAAAAAAGTTTCAGAAAAGAAAACAGAAAAATTGGTTGAAAAGACTGAGAAAAACAACAGCAGTAGTAATAACAAGGAAAAAGAGAGAAATTCAGAAAAACAATTCTTTAAAAAGGAGAAATCACCAGGAAAGAGGAAAAGATCACATGACAACGATTCTGATGATAAAGAAAGCTCTCCTGCAAATACAAAAAAAACAAAAGGTAATGGTAATTAATTAATTAATTAATCCAGCTTAGTTGGCTATTATAAATTATTTCCAATACAAAAATTTATATTTTATAATAAAATTAATTTTTGTTTAACAATTTATTTATAGATAAAAGAGATGAGAGGAAAGATGAAAAAGAAGATGATAGCATTACTTGTCCAGTGTTGACTAAGGAATTGATAGCAAGGCTAGCAAAATCAATATCGGGGAGTTGGAAAAAAGTTGCAGAGAAGCTAGGTTATAAACCCGATGAGGTAATTTTTATAAGATAATTTTTAATTTTGTGGAAATTATTTTATATAATTAAAATTTTTAATCTAGGTCGAATATTTTGAGAGCCAGAAAGATTCGGACTACACTAGGGCTGTCAATTTACTTCTCGTGTGGTGTAGTACTGAAGATGACGCAACTCCCGAAAATCTGAGGCAATCATTGAAAAATCTTGGTCTCTTGGAAGCTGTTAAAATTTTATCAGCTTCGTAGTCTAGTTGTGTCCTGTAAAAATTAAAAAAAAAATTCCCATTTGTAAATAAAAGTTTGAATAGACACCTAGAATATTTTTGTTATATTTCTCAATTTTAACTTGTACAGTATAAAATTTAATAGCTGTCAAAATGTTTGTAGTACAAAGATAAATTACAAGTAAAGAATTAATTTTTAAAATTTTGTTAACAATTTTGTACGTTTGTGTATCTAATTTGGATTAATAATCAAACAAGGGCCTATAGTAAACTGCCTGTCTATGTAATTTTTTATTTTATTGACTCTTTCTCAAAAGGTTGACAGTTTTACCGGTTGAGGTGAGTGTTGGGAGTTGGAGAATTAGTTACTAGGTGCAAGGTGGCTATCGGTTTGAAAATTGTAGCCAATATGTAAAAAACTTTTTGAAACTAGGGACATATCTAAAATACCCCAAAATATCAAAAAAGTAAGTGTTTTTACTAGTTTTTAGATTTTCAGTTACGTTGAGGGGCAAGTTACGAGTTGGAGAAATGATGTATTCAACTAGATCTAACGTACCTAACAGTTTGGAAATTGTTCCCAATATGTAAAAATACTTTTTGAAACTAATGAAATATGTAAATACCAAACGACTGGTTTTCAGATTTTCTACTACCGGTTGAGGGGGGAGTTAGAGAATTGATGTATTCGCCTAGTTTTGCCCAATTTGGCTAGTTCAACTAGATCTAAGGCACCTGTTGGGTAGGAATTTTTTCTCAAGCAATATTACAAATTTATTGAAACTAAAGCAACATGTAAAATACCTAAAAACTTCAACAAAGTATTATTACACGGTTATTAGATTTTCACATATATGTTGTGGGGCGAGTGCAAATTCGGTATGTATGTATTCCACTAGCTTAACTTGATCTCAAGTACCTATCGGTTAGAAAAATGTACCCAATATGTCAAAAAACATTCAGAATCTAACGACATACTTAAAATAGTAGAAAACGCTGAAAAATTATGAATTTTTAGCGGTTAGTAGATATTCAACTAATGGTTGGGGGGCAAATTACGTGTTGAGGAATGATGTTCAACTAGATCTAAAGAACGTTTAGGTTCGTAAATTGTAACCAATATGTATAAACATATCCTGAATCTAAAGAAATATTTAAAATAAGAAAAAACTTTTAAAATGTAAGTCTATTGATTGGTTTTTAGATCTGCAACTACCCATGGGGGGGGGGTCATTCGACCTGCTGAGGATTGAAAAAGGAATTAGGCTCTTAAAAACAAGCAGTTTTCGAGAAACCCCCCCCCCAAAAAAAAAAAAATTGTTAATGTCTTTTTTGATGAAATTCAACCTGCTGAGTTAGCGAATAAACCCTTGTGACTAGTTCAACTTGATCTCATGCAGCAATCTTGTTAAAAATTGGTCACAATATGTATAAATACTTTCTAAAACTAAGAAATTTCAAAAGTCTAAAATGACTTCGAAAAGGTATGTTTTTCTATCGGTTTTTCGAGTTTGACATACCGGTTGAAGAGCGAGTTGCGAGTTAGCGAATGAAGCCTTGCGACTAGTTCAAATTGATCTCGTGCAGCAATCTTGTTAAAAATTGGTCACTATCTTTGTTTTAATTTTTTTAGATGCGTTGGTTGTTATCTCTTTGTGTTGAGCATTGACGACATATTCCTCTTTAGCTGCAGCATTCTCATAGGTTCCGCATCATTCTGGTTTCCATCCTGGTTGACAGATAATGGTCACAAATTCTCCGAGATCCATTTTGAGTAATTCATTGAGCTTGCTTACCATTTTCTCCATTATAGCTCAAACGATTTTCTTCCCAATTGAATTTACGATCCTCAACAAATATTGAGTTTCTCCATACTGAGACCCTCGCAACTCTTTATTTTGTACTTTACCATGAGAAGCTTGTCTCTAGTTTGGTGTTGTTTGTCAATAAGATCCCAAGAGACAGCACACCTCGTTCCCTTCAGGGTTTTAGCATTCTGGAATATGTTTCTTACATCAATTTCCATTGGAATTTTTGCAATGATTGGTCTAATTCCTTTTAATGATTTTCCAATTGGATATCCTCTATAAATCCTCTCTCTCATTTTTAATATGGACACACAAAACATTTTGACCGTGTGAATTCAATCCTTGCCTTCTCCTCTCAAACCATAAAATATGATTTTTTTTGTCTCCTGTGATAAATATTCTAGTTGTTGCGTGTCTTTTTGTTGATTTCTTTTTGCTCCTTCAGCTCTGCCTTTATTTCAATATTCTCCTGAATTATACTCTAGAGATTTGCGCCCATAGCCCTCATATCGGTTTTCAGACCGGCCAATCTAGAATCTAGAATATCCGTAAACCCTGATTTAAGATGCTTTAACGAGAGAGAGCCAACCTGGCGCCCTCCTCAGTCATATTTAATTCTGAGTTATGCTTTTTATATTGTTGATGTTTTTCCTCCGGTTAGCAGCTTTTTTTCCTTTTAATCATTGGGTCAGGAGAGAAAAAGTCTGTAAGATTATCCATATGCAAACATTGACATCTTCCTAACTCTAGTTTTCATTTATATTAATGAAGTTAGGAGAAATTTTTTTGGTAATAAAAAAGTATCAAGTATTTTGTTGCAGTCTGTTGTAGGCGATAGAAATTTGAAAAAAATTCCATCTCCTTCCTTTTGGAGAGTAGATAAATAACAATTTTTGATAATCTATGTTTGTTTAATATTCTTAATTGGTTTTTTAATTTCCTTGTGATAGTTGAAACCTGTTTGTATTGTTTTATGCTGTCTAGTATTACACCATGCTGCAGTCTGAATGATAGAGGTGAACATCTCTGCTTCATTATTTAATTGATCTTCCATTTTCAGAGGTACATTAAGGACCATTTTAGCATCCAAATCTAAGAAAAAACTAGTCCAGTCAGTAGTTATATTAACTAGGCTTGCATTTTTTAAAATATTTTTATTATCATTTCACTTAGCGTCAGTGATTGGAATTTAGACAAAAGTTTTCTGTTATGTTAATGAAGTTAGGAGAATTATTTTATTTTTTGGTAATACAAAAGTCTAAGAGAGCAATTATTATATTGCAGTCTGTTGTAGGCGGCAGAAATTTGAAAAAATCATCTCTCCTTCTTTTTGGTGACTAGATAAATGACGATTTATGATAATCTTTACGTTTGTTTAATTTTATTAATTGTCTTTGGGATTTTATAAAATTGAATTAATTTATTTGTTTTAGTTAAAATATTATTAATTTATGGTGTTTTTATGGTGTTATTAAAAACATTTTGAGGAGGTTTCTTTTGACCAATTGGCGAGTGCGAGACACAGCGTGAGGTTAGCCGAAAGTGGAACTCTTCACAGATCAGCCATGGCGGTGGTGAGTCTACAAACTTTATTCCGTTTTTTATCCGACAACATCTATTATTCTGTTACACTTTAACAATTAATTATTTTACTATTATGTTACTCGTGTTGTTAGAAACAGTAGATTTTGTCGGATTTAGGATAAATCCTTAAAAACTTTCAATAGGCCCAAGTCTAACCATCGTGGTTACACGTTGTTTATGTCGTGTCTGCGAAAATGTCCATGAATTTCATTTTTCGACCCGTTTCAGACAAGGAAGCAGGCCCCGGCCCCCGTCAAAAAGACATCGTCTAAGTCGAAAAAGGAGCCTAAAGACAAATCGAAGAATGTCATGCGAGATGTCAAGATCCGAAAACTGTGCCTTAACATCTGCGTCGGCGAGTCTGGTGACAGGCTGACCCGTGCGGCAAAGGTTCGACACTGGACTTTTAAAAAAATGGATTTCCTTCTGACGATTCTTTTTTTTCAGGTGTTGGAACAGTTGACAGGTCAGCAGCCAGTCTTCTCGAAGGCGAGGTACACTGTCAGGTCATTCGGTATCAGGCGTAACGAAAAGATTTCAGTCCACTGCACAGTCAGGGGTGCCAAAGCTGAGGAAATCCTCGAAAGAGGCCTCAAGGTATTTAAATATATTTTACCAAATTGTTTATAATCATGAAATGTTATGGAGGAGGACTTGGAGATTCATCCTCCACTATTGTACATTCTTTTTGATGACACTTATCTCCATGGTGATCAGATATCCAAATCATACCTCCATGGATGAAATTTTATTCTTCATACTTTTACATGTTTGAAGTATATTGCGAGGTTCAAACATTTTTTATTACTTAGAAAAACAAAAATAAACTAGTCAGCTAAGAACAAGGGAAGTAAAAAATAAGTGGCTAAAATTTTATTCAGATTTCAGTTAGTATTCCAGAAACAAAGTCCACAAACACACACTAGTTGTCTCGAAGTCAGCATTTTTCATAATTAGAGTTATTTCAACGCACAATAAAGTCTTGGAAGGCGTTTCTGGCTTCACTGCGTTCTCTGAAAAATTAATTCTTCAAAAAGTGATTACAACACCTAAGAAAGTGGAAGGCAAGAGGTCGGGTGAAATGGAGGGAGTAGTAAGTTTTACACCCTTGTCCTCCTTACGTTTCTACAGGGTATTGTGACATGTGGCCTGGCATTATGGTGAAGAAAAATTGGCCCCCTTACGTTTTCCAAAGCTGGGCAAAAAAAAAATTTTTTTTCAATTTCTTGGCAATATTTCCCTGCTGTGATAGTTTCACCATAATTCAGGAAATTGAAGTGAACAACTCCAGCAGTGCACCACCCAACTTTCACCAGAACCATTTTTGGGTGCAGATATGGTTTCGGGTGTTTTGGCATTTCATCCTTGTCCAACCACTACCTGTACTCCTGTTATCGTATAGAATCCACTTCTCATCACATGTGATGATTGGATCAAGAAATGGATCATTTTGGCGGCACAACAGAAGAGAAGTACAAATTTCAAAGTGGCAATTTCTTTGGCCTTCATCAGTTAGTTCATGTGGTGCATACTTATCGAGCTTCTTTACTTTACCAATTTGCACCAGATGAAGAACAAATGCCATGCTGGGTAAACATGAAAACCATAAACTTCCTACTCTCTTTACTTTATGTTTACCCGACACAGAAAGTTGGTCCTTAACGAGAGGGATGTCGGCTTCCCTTAACAATTTAAACCCTTCTCTTATCCTCTCAAATAAACAAGTTAAAATAAGTACAAGATAAGTAACAAATAAGTTAGTTCATATGCCCTCATCAGTCTTCTTTTTGAAAATAAATGAATGAAAGGTTCCTTAAGGTCTTATTCACATTGATTGTAGGTTAAAAAAAATGCACTTATTTGTGTTTAAATGGATAATTCTCAGATGAGTTCTCCAACACCATACAGTGCTAAATCAAATCAACTTATTGCAACTCCCATCACCTTTTTGTTGCTGATGCGGATACTTATAGCTGGTACATATAATTAATATCAATATTCCAACACACGTTTGGCATCAAAATGTGTAGAACTTGTTAACGGTTGAAAGAAAACTGATTCAAGGTGATGATGTAAAGTGGCCATTCACGATCGCTCCCAGCAATCCAAACAGAGCATCGCCGTTCCAAAAACCATGTCAATGGCAAAATTGAACTGGCTCGCCAAATATTTGACTGGTCCAAACATATACAGCCCGATGACTGCATGGCCCTTCATGAATGGGAAAACCTGGCATGAATGGTGGAATTTGGCTTGGTCGTGAAACACGTGTTTTTTTTTTTTTTTTTTTCGCGCAGTCTGTCTTTCTGTCACTGAGCAAACATCTCTGTAGTACATTCTCAAAAAGTCAAAAATGTTTATTCTTTATTGGCAATGACATCCAATTGATATTTTATTGTTGAGGTGATTGAATTGTATAAAGTTTACCATGTTTATGGAAAGTGGTGGACAACAATTAAGTTCCTCTAATCAGTGGGTTCAAGGGAAAGATCTTTCATCAAATAGGATCTGTTCCCAGATCATTTTCTTACACCATTTCCTCTTTGGTTTTTGCTTTTTATACATAAACAAACAGCAGCGTAGCCGAAGAGATGTTGAGAAAGTAATTCACTAGACGACGATCGGAGCGGACAGTCTGTGGAGCAGTCGTGAAAGCCCCCTCAAATTTTAGGCACTCCAAATGGAACTATGCGGCTTGGCGCGGTTCCACTTCTTAAGGTGGCCATTCACGATTGCATAGTTCCATTTGGAGCATCTTTCTTCTTCTTTTTAAATGTTTCTTTTATGAGCCATATAATGAATGTTTGATTAATAATTATTAAACAGCACTTCGTAATTTAAAAATGGTTGACTTTGAAATAAGTTTATCCAATGAAAGTTTAGTGCTATAATAATTTCTGCTTAATTGCAACTCCCATCACCTTATTTATTGCTGATGAGGATACTTGTGGCCGATATAGACGTTAAATTTTCATTTTGAATTTTGTAGAAGAAAAAAAAATTGCACTTGAATTTTTAAAAAAGTACTGACTCCCGAATGAGTTTTTCTTTAAAAACAAGTGCTATATCAATTCCAGTGAATTTGCAACTCCCATCACCTTATTTATTGCTGATGTGGATACTTACTGCTGGTACAATGTTATAAAATATGAAGTAACTGCATCAATTATATTTAAAGTGTTAGATGTATTGACCATTTTTTTACTCATGAATAATCTGGATATCTTTATGACCTGGAACTAAAAACTAAAATTAATATCTGCCACGCTTTGAACCTATTTTAAGGTAATCATCAGGACAAAACACTCTAAAATATGTCTACAAATTGACATAATTAAGATTTTAATAAATGATTTCAAAATCCCATTTCTGCCAACTCCACCACTTCATGGATATGTTGGGACTGAGTTTATCTTCAAAGAAATTTGAAACTTAATTATGTCAATTTGTTGACATCTTTAAGATTGTTTTGTCCCGATGATGACCTTAAAATAGGTTGCAAGCGGTAATTGAAATTGTTTGTTCGGCCAGACCTCCAGATCCAGATTATTGGTCAATTTATATTTCAAGCGTTTAAATAAAAATTTGTGTTACAGGTACGAGAATATGAATTGAGAAGAGACAATTTCTCAGACACAGGAAACTTTGGATTTGGTATTCAAGAACACATCGATCTTGGTATCAAATATGATCCCAGCATTGGTATCTACGGTTTGGATTTCTATGTTGTCCTCGGCCGTCCAGGTAAATATTTTTGCGTTATAATTATTTTTTCAATCTTCTTTTTCTTACCTTTCGGCCGTGCCAGGTTTCAACGTTGCACATAGACGGAGAAAAACTGGAAAAGTTGGTTTCCAACATAGGTTAACTAAAGAGGATGCCATGAAATGGTTCCAACAGAAGGTATAAATTTTTATAAACCTACGACTGACAATTTTTACTTATATTTCTTTTTCTGTTTCAGTATGATGGAATCATTTTGCCTGGCAAGAAGTAGATTACTTCTTTACAATAAATTTTTATTTCTTAAACAAAAGTATACTGCTTTTTTTCTCTCCCCCGAATAAAATTTATTAACATGATTTCTTTTTTTGTATTAGATTATTTTAGTCAATAAGTCAAAATGGTTTTGGGATTTTCAAAACTTAATGTTGCCATACAATATTACAGTAATGTAATATTAAATTGATCGCTTACCTCTATTGATTTATATATGAAATTAAACTAAAAACTAGTTTAGCATTGCCTTCATCATTGTATATTTGATTGCGATAAATGATACATCATGGTAACAACTGTTTTGAAATTTTTCTCAGAAGAAAAGTACCATAAAAAATTCATTAACAGAGATTTAAATAAATAAATAAAACTATTTATAGTCAATAGCAAGATTAAACAACTTTTCTGTTGGACTTTTTCCTGTTGTTTAAGTGAATGTATTGTTTTCTTCTTTGTTCTTTTTTGGAGAAACTTAAAAAAAAAATCATGAAGAAATCTCTAAATCTGGCCTGCATTTAGAAAGAAGAAATACTTTTGTTTACTAAAATGAGAATCTACAACAATTGCATATGCATTGCAGTCCTATTCAAACATCTTTTCGTCTGTGTTGGGAAATTTTTTTATATAGTATAAATGGCTTTTAATATTACCCACTTCAAAGTCTACTACTGATTTTTTGTTGCACTTTCATCTAAAAATTGTAATAAATCTGTAGTTTGTCCCTAAACATTCTAATCTGTCAGATGTGTTTCAATTTGTTGCTATCTTCTGTGGTAGGTTTTAACTAAAATTATAACTCTGAAGATGATAGGGAAGCTGAAATGTACCAACAAGCCACAGCGAGTCTTAAGCAGACCAAATGATCCGAAACAATCGCTACCCTTGTCCCTTTTTTCCAAAATTGCAGTCTAGTTTTCTGCCTACAAGTGTATCTTTCTTACTGCTTGCTTCTGCATTAGCTGTAGAGATCCAGAAGAGTAGAAAGGCAATTGAGCCAAACCAAGTCCATGCAGTGGTTATTAAATTAATGGTAGGTAGAGCAGGTTGGTCAGGGGCTAGATGATTTGATTCAACTTTCAGTAGTGTAAAGCACAAACTAATAGAAATTTTAAGAACCACCAGAATCGACAGCAAGAAGCATAGACTAATATCAGACCTGAATTGGAATCGAGCAAACTACCTCAGAGGCCTTCATAATTGAGAAGAGACAGCTGTATTATATCGCCCCTGCTTTTTACCATGTGCTTGGAAGCTACTTAAAGAAGCCAATTTCCAAACAATGGGAGATACCTGAATAACATGCAGTTGACACACTAGTGATGACAACATAAGGCTCATCTCACACATGTATGTACACGTATGTGTAGATTTGAGCTTACATAAATCAATATCGATGATTTTTACATATTTCCTGAACCTGGAATTACAATGGGTCACTGTACTTCGAGTTTTTCCAAATTCAGTTTGGGTGAACTGATTTTCCTCCTTTGCCCTTCAGTTTTGTCAGACCACTCAAGCCCGATCAAAACCAAAAAGTTTTTTCACAGAGACAATTGTATTAATTTTGCTTGTGCTTTAAGCTACAAAAGAAACAATACAACAATGACTGAAAGGACAAAAAAAAAAAAAAAATACAGACTGGAAGTATTTAAATTTGGCTTTGCCAATAACTTTCTGATAAACGGCTCTATGATTCACCAGGAACTTAAAATAGTTTAAGACTAAATTAGACTAGTTATTTTGATGTCATTTGTTCCATATACTTATTCCTGTGTATATTACAAATACCCAGTAATACGTTCAACTGATTGTTACAAATGAGTTTCCACAATTTTCCAGAAAACTTATTCTAAAAATTCAATAGGAATTATATAAAAAATAAACAATTTTATAACAAATATAATTTAATTCTGTAAAAACAAACAAAAAGTAAGTACATTTGTTTAACCATCCAAGTTGAAATAATAATTTCACTTTTGGTAATAATAAATTGGAAGATGAAATAAATTCAATAAATAAAGTCACGGTAATGCATAAAATTCATCAAACCTTAAATCTTTCATGTAAAACATTTTTCAAATGTGAGGTTTAGATTTTTCTTAAAAAACAAGGGCACCTAGAAAATATTAAAAGCTGCAGATGATGCTTTTTAACAAGCTATTTATTTGTTGAAGAGCATGAAAAAGTTTAAAAGCGAATGCTTATTTGAATTGTAGAATGTTAAAACAATTTTTGTAATGCGCCATACACATCATTTTTGGCTCGGCTCAAACCGATTAAATCCGCCCAAAGTCAAAAGATGAATTTATTGAGATCAAGAGCACATACTTACACAACGTATGGCAAAGAAACTTCTTATTCTTGTTTTGAAGTTTTGAAAGTTGTACCTCTAAGCGACCTAGCAAGCTCCTCCTTAAAATAGGGAATAGTTTTAATAATTCCTTTTTCCAAAGGAACTTTCGGCTCCCAGTTGAGAAACTGTTTCGCTCTGCTAATGTCAGGTTTCCGCCTCTGAGGGTCGTCCTCAACAGACTCGATGCTCTTAATTTGGTTCTCGTTCCCGACTAGTTTTTTAATTATCAATGCAAAATCTGCAAAAAAGCAATATTTTTTTTCTAAATTTAATTTTATACTCTTTTAATCTTACCCATAATCGAATATTCAATTGGATTTCCAAGGTTTACTGGTTGTGTGTAATTCGAGGCCATAAGTGCGATAAGGCCGTCAATTAAATCAGAGACGTACTGAAATGATCTCGTCTGATTTCCTCGCCCATAAATCTATACATAAAATTAAATTATAACAAAACAAAATGCCTCAAAAATAAAATTATACTTTGAACAATCCAATACAAAAATAAATTTAAAAAGTTATTAACAAATTACTTTGTCATGTAGTGTCGAGCCGTATGAGATCTGGCATGTCCTGGACTCATGCAATTCATCCTACCTCATATACATTGACTCTCTGAGTACATTGTGGGCCCTAAAGAATAGATTCTCAGTGGATCCTCCCAAAGCACTTTTGCTTGGAAGATATGGAGCGTCTCGGAAAAACATATTTATCTGGATACTAGAACATGGTAATAATGCGGCAAAAGCCAGAATGGCTCATACTACAGATATTATTGCGATTCAACCTGCTGATGTTAAATGAGCAATAAAAGAAAAATTAGCAGCGTCAGTGCACTGGGTTGACGGAGAAGCTCTTACATGACAAGAGAACAATTGGTAGGTGGTGCTTAGAGGACCCGATTCGTAGAAGAAGGGCCAACCTACTCAACCCAGATTGGCCGTACAGGTAGACACATGGACACTTACTTTTGGACCAAACCCCATGGCATATGTGTCCAGCATGCAGAGTTCAATGTGTCCCGCTTAATTGAAGTATAGTTCTTTGGCTCCATATAGGGAGAAAGTAAGAATGTCGCCTGATATGAGAATTGTACTTGAGTACGACGGCAAATCATCATTAGGCCTCTTATTCTCATTTCTGGTGGAAATTCTGTATCTTTGTTTGTTTTTTTTTTTAATTTTTTTTTTTTTTTTTTTTTTTTTTTTTTTTTTTTTTGCGTTATGAACTATGCATATTAGCCATGTGACAAATTCGTATATGTGTGTTCAAATTTCGGGGGTTATTGGGAAAAAAGGGCCAGGGGCAACGGTGGGAATCGAACCCACGACCGCGGCGTGAGAGTCTCTCATGCTAACCACTCGGCTACCGCGGTCCCCCTTTTTTTTTTTTAATTAAAGTTATATTAACTAAGTTTGGTGATAGATGTTTTAGATTTTTGTGAGAATGTATTTATATGTGTGAATGTGTGTAGTCCAGGAGAATCAATGGTGGAATATCAAGTGCCCCCATCAACCCTAAATTAGGCTAGGCAAAAAATGGAGTACCAGATATTCCTCCATCATGTTATTTGAGTGAAGTATAAAAATAAAAAATAATATATTTAAGAATGAGTGAGAAAAAGAGCATGTGTAGGTAAAAACTGCATGCATTGGTTGCCGAAATGACCTTGTTGTCGATAGCACCTTGAACTTAAATTCGGCAGTGCTACAAATAAGACAAACGCCTGACCCCAGAACAGAAAGTGGATGATTCTTGTGGGTTGCCACAAGAAGCCATAAGCTCGGCTCTGCACGTACATATACACAAGTGAATAAATAGGTAGAATTGAGTCTATATAAATCTGTCAATCGACTACTATTTTATACTTGCAGTAAGAGTTTCATTTTTAAGGGCTTGGAAAATAAAGTTGGACACGACTCTTCCATCATCGATATGCATTCTCGGCCCGTAGGTGTTGAATATTCTCGCAACTCTGACTGAAACTCTATCATGTTTTGCATAAGCGTAGCTCAGCGTTTCTGAGACTCTCTTTCCTTCATCATAACAAGCTCTTGGACCTGGTGAAACGTCCAAAAATTATGAAAAATCGTGAATTATCTGAGGTGATGAAACTGCAGCCTGAATGTCTAAAATCATCTCAGTATGCCAATTCTGGAAATCTTTAGTGGCTGGTATGTTTACTACTGTGCAAGTCCTCTATTTGTTCCAAACAAATGTATATATTAGTTTTAAATTATTTTTAAAAAAACACCTTGATATTTTGCAAATGTATAAAACGGATACAATTGGCAAATAGCACACAGGCCAAATTCTGACAGACAAAACTAGCAAGAATAGATAGATGATCAGAGACAATCCAAGACTCCAAATTATAATTTAGTCTACAACTTGTAAAAGTCTCACCAATGGGGTTCACATGTCCCCAGTAGGTTTCTGGCTGTGGATGTACCTTTGGATCCCCATAGACCTCTGATGTGCTTGCTATTAAAATTTTTGCTCCAACTCTTTTTGCCAAACCTTAATTATATTAAAACAATTAATAATAATACTGACTAATTGTAATTAATAAATTATGCTTAAATTAGTAGGAAAATGGATTATTTCAAGGTCAAGGATTTGCAATACTACCCTATTTTAATCCTTTTTAAAAAGATAGTTCCTACTCACAGTAAGTTGTTTTCCAACGATCCAGATTTCGAGCTTTTAGCTCATCATCAGGTTGAAGGAGTTAATGATGATGAGCTAAAAGCTCGAAATCCGGATCGTTGGAAAACAATTTACTGTGAGTAGGAACTACCTTTTTAAAAGGATTGAACACCGCACTCACTCCACCATTCATCATTTGAGCTACCCTATTTTTGTTAAATTCTTACCAAGCATATTTATTGTTCCGATTGTGTTCGTTTTAATTGTCTTGACTGGATTGTACATATAATGTGGAGGTGAAGCCGGAGAGGCGAGGTGATATATTTCATCAACCTCGACAAAAAGGGGGCTCACGATGTCTTGGTGTATCAGCTCAAAATTCTCGTGGCCGGACCAGTGCTCAAGATTGCGTTTGCTTCCGGTGAAGAAATTGTCCACGACGATGACCTCATGGCCTTTAAGCATGAGACGGTCGACGAGGTGAGAACCTACGAATCCTGCCCCGCCAGTCACCAGTATTCGCTTTTTCGTGCTGTAGCTGAGGAACTTGACGTTCGGGAACGGTTTTGGCACACGTGTCTCGACATATTGGAGTTTGCTCTCAAGCGCTTTGATCCTGTCCTTTGCCTCGGCTAATTCTTTCAGTATCGAAACGTTCTGCAGCAAGTTTACCTCAGGCTCTTTGGCCCGGAATCTTTCAGACACTCTGACTCGGTCCTTCTCAAATATATTTTGCCCGATCAAAATACCTAAATCATACAAAATTAATCATACTGTTAAATGATCAAAGCAAATCAGACTACTTACCAATGAAGAATAGGCTGAGGCATGGAACGAATTTCAATAATAGACGTTTTGTTATTACCATATCTGGCCACTTATTCAGTGCTTTCCTTGCTACCCATTCATTTCATCTCAAGTTATCATTATGTTAAAGTCTAATACTATAATTAAAATTTATTTTCCTGCTTAGAGTAAGCTTTTTTAAGTGGCCTCTGTTTATCATTTGTAAATACGAAGGTTGTAATAATGTTTACTTTGTGCCTGATGATAACAAACCTGTTGTCAAGAGATGTCAACATTATTCAAGTTGTCAAGCTAACATAAATTTTGTTTTGTTTTGTAGGCCAAGACAATTAAAAAATAAATGAAAAGTTAATTATATTAAAAATTGAATAACATTATCCTATATGGTTAGTTAAATATGACGATATAACTTTTTTTCTTCATTTAAATTGTTGAAACATTTCATAATGCAGAAATTGAATAATTTTTAAATATTTATTCAATTTCTGCATTATGAAATGTGTAAATACAATTTAAATGAAGAAAGAAAAAGTTAATAATAATGAAATTTGAATAACATTATCCTATAAGATTAATTAAATATTTTTACTTATATATTTAAACAGGCAGATATTAAAATACAACATACAGTAACTTTTGCAGTATACAAATACATATTTGTCCACATGGAAAATTAAAATCTAAATTATACATCTGCAATGAACTACATATTAAAGAAAATGATTGAGAAAGTAAATTGCACATTGTAAAAGATTGTGAATAGCAAAAAATAGCAATAAAAACTGATTATTTGGAGATTGTGAGATGTGGTCTGGTGTGACGTAGGTTTAAAAAAAAAACATTTTCTTTATCATGCCAATGTTTCGATCTTCATTGAGATCATCTTCAGGGCTGAAAGTGTTTGTTTTCTGTGTAGAAGTGTTATTACTGTTTGCCGAGTTGAGAGTGCCCTACTGGCATATGACACATCAACACAGAAAACAAACTATTTCAACCCTGAAGATGATCTCAATAAATATTGAAACATTGGCCCGATAAAGAAAATGTTTTTCTAAACCTATGTCAAACCAGACCACATCTCACGATCTCCAAATATTCACTAATTAATGGTCTCTAAACACCATACAATAATAAAAACCTATTAATGCAGTAGAACAATAAACATTAACATTAATTTATTATCATTGTATAATTAAGCAATTTTAATATATCATATATTCTGCTAAGCAATATTATAATTTAAACTTCCAATTATTTTTTTTTAAATTGTAAAAATCTAATTATTTTGAATAGCAAGAAGACTGATCTAATGGTTTGAATCAACTACTAAATATTAGTAATTTGTGATAACTTCCGAATAGATTATTAACTAAGTATTTTCAGAGGATCTTCGGAAAAGGTCAAAACAGAGAAAACTTCCTTACGGTTTTCGCCGAGCTTTCGACAGTTTTATACTGTCATCTTCAGGGCCTGTTTTATTATCATATAAACAAACAATTAAAACATGAAAAAACAATAATTACAATGTTTCATGTTCATGTTTTAATTGTTTGTTTATATGATAATAAAACAGGCCCTGAAGATGACAGTATAAAACTGTCGAAAGCTCGGCGAAAACCATAAGGAAGTTTTCTCTGTTTTGACCTCTTCCGAAGATTCTCTGAAAAGACTTCTTGTATCCAGTAGGTCGATAATCTAGTTCATCGTTAGATTATTAACTGTTTTTGGAGTCAGTTGATAGCAGAATGAAAATAATCATGAGGTATAAAGAATATGGAAGAAAGTCTTCAATTATGGAGACCAACTCAGAAAAAATTATAAATTAAAAATTAAAAACATAAACATAAGTTAAATTTTAATAAATAAAATTAGACTTATTTTTTTATCTTGATTTGGTATGGTTAGGGATAGTAGATTCACTTGTTTTTTTGTTTTTGTTTTTTTAAAAATAAAATATGACCATATTACATCTTTTTTTTTTTAATTTAAAGTATACAATACATATTTCTTAATGCAGAAACTGAATGATAATTTTTTAAACATTATCATTTTATATATTATTTTATATTTAATTACTACTGAAAATATTTTATTATTTTTTTCACTTGCTTATCAATAGCTTAACAATACCCATTATTTTTTACTAAAAGCTATACAAATTAGAGAATATAGTAAAAAAAATTATCTCTGGTCAAAATTTCATTGCAATCAAAAGTGCTGGGCAAAGTAATTGGCAATAATGGATCCATTAGAAGAAGAATTAACACCATACTTCATATGGGAGGGCATTGCAGAAAACTGTTTCATGGAATTTATATCACCAAAAGTTTTTAATATTTGATTGAATTGAGTTTTCAATATCAGATAAATAATAATTATAACATAGACTTGATAAGGATTTACATTTAGCTCTAAGACTAGAAAAGTTTTGGTAATATTGCTATTACCTGTTTATTTATATAGTTTATGGCACATCTTTTTTTGTTTGGTAAAATTAATTTGATAATGATCTGAGCTGAACCACTTTGCGTACCTGGGAGAACTATACGGTTTGACAATAGGGACATACTGATTTTGTTTAACATTAATAATTAAAACAGGATGATGTTTATCCACATCCACTAAACTAACATCAAAACAACTATCAATGCAGATAGTGTATTTGCCATCCTAGATATTTTTTAATTTATAATAGTACAAAAGAAGTACTGTGTTTTGGCCCCTCATCTGTGACCCCCAATGAGAAGTTTGATATGAAATGGGATAGATGAATCCAGCATTGGATGGGGATGTAAATAAAGGCTTAGAAATTATCTTAAGCAAATAAATAAATGTGTATAATCTTTCTATGAATAAAAAAGGGCATTGAAAAATACTAATAGGCTTTTAGAAAAAAAAATGTATTATACAATATCTTTTCCACAAGAGAACATTTGAAAAAATTGTTATGGCCTGATCTCCAATACGATTAAGTTGCTTATCATTTCCTTTCTTACATAAACTCTATGTAGTTCTGTTTATATCCATTTTCCTTTGTAAAAAACAAGCATTTTGGAAGTTTGAATTCTAAGCCCATGCTGTGTTCAGGAGGCAGCCCTATACAGGCTCTCAGTATATTGTCGATGCACGCTTTTTGCTTTGAAAGAGCGTTAATAACCGGTGTACCTAAAATCGACAAATTTGTTATTTTCCTGTCAAATTTCTCTGCCTTGTCACGTACCTTTTGGGACCAAGGGGGATTTGCATAAATACCCAAGCATCGAGAGAATAGGTTCAAAAGGTATGTAAACAGATCCAGATTCTGATCTAAATTTAACACGAGTAGCGAATTCAGCTAGGATGACAAGGTCGAGGATTATTGGCGTAGCTAAGAGTGAGTCTTCGCATGTGTTATGCAAAACCAATGTATTTGTACCGCCAAGCATTAATTCACTTGTGTATTCATCTAAAGCTCTTTTGCTATCGCCTAAAATAAAATTCCAAGATAACGTAAAATAAATGTATAGAATTTTTAACATTTATGTATAATATAAAATAATAGAGAATAGAAATTTTTAATTTTGATACAAACCGACATAAGGGACGTATTTGATATCTACTAAATGATCAACTTTTTCCCCTGGGCTGTATATAAATTTATTTGCTTTTATCATATCATCAATGACACTACTCTTTGATATCTGTAAATATTATTGCTTTCTATTTATTTTTTCTATGAGAAAATTAAATTTTTTACACTTTTCACTTGTTGTGATTCGTGTCATTTTATAATTAATTTTACCTCTTTTGATTTAAACTGTGCTTGTGATGAGAGATTTTTCCCATCATTGTTTCCCAAATGGTTGTAACTTGCAATCGCAACTGGCTTAATACCTGCATTCAAAAGAAATTCGACTATCGCAGATTTAACTTTTGTCTGGCCCGATTTGAAATCATCGCCAGCTATAAATACTCCTTGTTGTTGAGCAAGTTCTACGACCCCTGGTATAAAAGTATTCTGAGGCGACCCATTAATAAATGGACACTGAAAACAATAAAACAAATTAATTTATCTCTCGCTGGCGGTTAATTGCTCGTCTGATTCTCACATCTTCCAAGATAGACGCTAATGCGAATAAGGTCGAAGGTGATAAACGGTCGTCATTCATTTCAATAGCTTTTAAAACATTTTTAGCAGTGTCGTGTACTCCTGGAACTATTTCAGAATATCTTTCTGTGCTCGCTGTCCATAAAACTATTACTTTGTCAGCAGTGTTCTTCATCTCCCTAATGTCAGTCCTGATCTGGTCGAAATTTTGTTTACAAGTTCCTTTCAATATGTTGTCAGCACGTTCTTCCTATAAAATAACATTTTCAGTTTTTAAAAACAAATTTCTAAGCATATTTAATAATAAAACCCAAAGAATCTTTTTATCAAATAGGACTAGCAATTGAACCTATTTAAATATTATATTACTATCTTTTCGCGCTCAATTTTCTTGAGGCTTATTGATGACACAAATAATTTGTAATGAAAATATGACTTAAAAAAATTAATTGGGAATTTTATAAATGAATGTTAATTTCTAAATGGATATGTTCAGCAATTTTTAAGGTTTAATTGTAACTTACTTGGTTTGATGCAATGAATGAATAATTGTATATTGAAGGCCTAGGTTTAATTTTTTCTAAATAAGGCTTTAACTGCCTTTGCAAATCATAATCTAATACTTTAGCTCTTTTTAATGCTGATGCAAGGTCAGCGGATGAAATATCCCAGCCGTCTAACAAAATGTCATCAGGGTCGACTAACGGTACAACGTCGCTCAATGGTACGTAATAGTCTTCGTTTTCTGAGTTCCCCAGGCGAATGGAAGAGCATTGTGTAATCGAACCTAGCCAATTTGATGTGACGGATCCTTTCTTAGTTTCCCATGTCATTTTGTGCTTGTTGGCAAGAAGCGCGGATGCAAAAGTGACTCCGTTGTTGCCCCCTAGGCCAACCAACATTACGCCCAGCTTGGGCACTTTCCTGTCGGTCTGAATGGTGAGTTTTGTACATTTCGGCTTAACCTAAAAATAATAATAATTTTTTTGTCAAGGTGTTAAAGCAGTACAACATTAGAATTGTTCTTCTCATTTCAATGACTTGATGTCATATAAAAGAAGAAATACTATTCAGAAAGATTAGTTATGCAGCTAAGCTTTTAAATTACATAATACTTTTAAAATATAAAATTTTATAAAAATCTTTGCCAATACTGACCATAACTGTATTTTTCTTTGTTTTATTGAACTGTTAAACTTCTTAGGACTTTATATATCAACCTTACTCAATACATTTTGTTTTATATATTTGCTATTACAATCCTTTAGTAGTTTTATTCATTCAAGACCTGGTTTTAGTTTAACCACCCAAAGTATTTGGTAAAGTATGGCAAAATTCATTTAATGAATTAAACCAAACAGAATGAGTTTCATTATTTAAAAACTAAAATAAAATAATTTATTTATAATTACATACTAGGAAGGAATCTTTGGGAGGAAAAAGAACCTCAGTAGTACAGCTTAATATTAATATTTTCTAAAGAAACTTTTTTATATAGAGAAAATATGAATAAAAGTAACAATTGTTTTTACAGTTGAATCATATATATAGTAGTCATAATTGACTGTATTAATTATTTTAATTAATTATACTTTTTATCTAGTGTTGATTGAGATGAAAAAGCTAATGTCATGAGTGGGATTCAAACCCACAACCTAACAACTTGAGCTATCGTAACTTTGACACACTCAGACATCAATTCCTCATCTCAACCTACATCCTTTTGAATTTTTACAGTGTCGGCTTAAATTGTTTATACATACAATTCAAAACAGTATATTGAGAAACGTTTTTTATAAAATTGACTTTTGCTCTTCTTAAATTACATTCTCTGTTTTTTTCGTAGGTTCATAATGCTGTCTGGATGAAAATAAAATTTCATCAGTCAGTAACAAACTAAAAATTCCATGTAATTTGGTCAATGTGCTTCAAAAGAAATTGCACAATAGTTATTCACAAGAGAAACAATCTTGTTTCTTTTCTGTTTTATCCAACGCAAAGTATAATGAAGCAAATATAATTTACTTACTACAACATGCCCGTCATCTGATTCCACAACGGTGTTGCTCGTGTAATTGTATTTTGCTTCGATAAAATGCTCGCTATAAGTAACATCAGGGGAGTCAACAACTACTTTGGGATACATGTTCTTACTCATTTCTGGATATTTTCTGAAGTTGGCACAACGCTTTTATCTTCAAAGCCAGTTTTTATACCATACCCGAGGTTTTATCTAAAGGGCAAACTCCATGTGAGCTGTTTAATTAATAAGATTAAGACAAAAGTAAAAAATACAATAACTGTATCATTATCAAATATGACTGATAATTGACCATTTAAGAAAGATTAATTTGACAATTTAGATTATTAAGAAAACTATTTTGATTATTATTTCTAATAAATGAAGATGAGAAATTATGATAATTAACAAAATATATATTTTTTTTAGTCTATTTAAAGATTGTGAGATGTGGTCTGGTGTGATGTAGGTTTAGAAAAACATTTTTTTTATCATGCCAATGTTTCGATTTTTATTGAGATCTTTAGGGTTTATAAACATTTTTTAAATTATACAAATACATGTAAAATGTGAAAATGAATTTATACAATGGTTTATTATATAATATAGAAATTTTAGGTTTAATCAAATATTTGTATTCACTCAAAATGTGTGCTTTCTGTGTAGAAGTGTCAAAGTTGTGTGTTGTGTTGAGTGTTAGTGAGATATTAATGAGTACAAGTGTTAGTACCAAATTCCTAAAATTTCTATATTTTGTGCATCACTGTATGAATTCATATTAATATCTTATACATATTTGAATAATTTAAACAATGTTTATAAATCCCAGGCCCTGAATATGATCTAAATAAAGATCGAAACATTGGCACGATATAGAAAATGTTTTTCTAAACTTACATCACACCAGACCACATCTCTTGATCTCTAAATATTCACTAATTAACGGTCACTAAATACAACACATTTTTTTTTAAATTTTATTTTAGACATTATGTTAAAGGACGAGTAGATTTATTCACAAACTAAACATAAATATGTTTATGTATTTTTATTTATTAGATTACAATTTACAATTATTTTAGAAATGGAAATTCTTATCACAGGCATAATGTTTAATGCGTCATAAATATGATTTGTACAACAATAATTAGACCCACTATTCAACTGATCTCAGTACACATTTTCCAAACATTTATTTCAAAATAGTGCAAATAATAGCAACAAAGTAGGTCATATTAAAAAAAATACAAACAATTTAAGTAGTATAAGAAATAAATAAAATCTTATATACAATAAACATAAATAATTGAATGTATTTGTTTTATTTATTTATTTATTTTTACACTGGTAATGTTTTTGAAACGGAACTTGCTACGGCTGAGGAACAAAGTTTCGTAAAGAAAAGAAGTCCTGTATGCCCTCCTGGAATGTAACTCACGAGGAACCATATGAGGGCGATTAGCTGGGCGACAGCGCTCAGCACCGTCAACGGTGTGCTCTGCTGATAAAGAGCAAAATACAGCGTGAGGAAAAGCGAGCCGAGGTAGCAGAATGTGAACCAAAATCTCTCCTTTGAGAACAAATGTCTCAAATGGTGCATTGGCCCCCAGAGGAAAGAGAAGCTGAAAAAGAAAAAGTTTTGAGATTCGTGTCAGAATAACGCGATCGAATATAATTTTACCTGCATATCGTAAAAAAGCTTCCCGTCGTATAAAGTAGGGCGAATTTTCTAGCCTTCAACAGAAGTACTGGTATGTACATAGCTGCTATACAAAAGCAGAATATTCCCATTCCCAAGAACATGCAGAAACCGACAATTCTCTGGAATCTTGACTGTGATAAAAAATGTAACATAGATTAATAAAAGTTAATGTACATTGTAGAAAACATGTATAAAACTTAATTTAAAAAAAATTAATTTTGACTTTTTTTTTATATTTCCCACATTAGCCAGTGAACAGTGTGTATTTGATGATGTATTAAGGGGGGGAAGGGTAGCAATAAAAAAAGGCCAGGGGTGATGGTGAGAATTTTACCCAGACAGTGGGTCCTATGAACCGAGAATCTATCACACTGACCATTCTGTTTCTGCAGCCCCCCCCCCAACAAAAAAAAAAGTTCCAACATTAATGATTTTACAATGAAAAGATGGCTTTACATTTGAATTCAATTTTTTAATTTATTTTTTATTTTACAATTTATAATATGAACAAAAATTATATGAAAGAGATTCCTGTCCAAATTTAATTTATTTTTGTAGTATTATTTCAGTTTTATTGATTTACTGATGCCAATACCTAACTGCAAAACAAAAAGCTATTTTAAAATATGAATAAATAAGACCTAAAAGTAGTTCAATTAGTCAAAGAGTCAAGATGGTTTGTTAGCTAAACTCTCTTTTGAAGCCCTTGAAGAAAAGAATATTTCTATTAAATTTAAAAATAACTGCATGATGAATCTGAACACATCTGCATTTTTTGACATATATTAATGCAACTCTAGCTATAAAAATACTACAAGCAGGCAGTTCATGACCCTCTTTAATTGTATGAGATCATCAAAATTTAACTAACATTGATGATAGAGGAATCCTAAAATTAGTACGGCAGACCAGGATCAAAAGAGATGAAGCAACAAGGTCATCTTGTAGACCTCAACTTTAGCAATGGTTCAATTTAGTCTTTAAAACCAACATTTAAGTTTGAACTGGGGTGTACCGTCAAATGGTGATTGTTGTATGATACCTAGACACATAGGACTAGAGGGTAATGAAAAAGTCTATGAGTCGGCTGAGCAGACATCTTAACCATTGTGTTCCAGCTGCCTGATGCTAAAAATGCGATAAAATACATGATTAAATAAAATCCTTGGTGGGCCAGTTAGGCAGAGAAGCTCTCGCCTTCAAAAGCACCGTTGATAGGTTACCCTTGGAGGACCTGACTACTCGTAGAAGAAAGGTAAACCTCACCTGATTATGTGAGGTTGTCAGATGAACATGTACACTTCCTTATGTGCCCTCCATGGAAAGAAAGGTTTGATGTGTACCTCCTTGGCTCCTTACAGAGAGAGTAAAGGAATGCCACCAGATATGAGAGTTGTGCTTGAGCACAGCAGCAAATATTCGAATCCCATGTTTCGATTTTTAAAGGAAACAGGGTTGTTTTATTGTATATAGTACTGATATTTTGTCATATTGTTTTCCATTTTGTGTATATTAAGACTGAATGTATTCATTACCATGAATGTATAGTGTGAGAGTACCGAAGTGGAAACGGCTGTTGGAGGAATACCTGAGTGAATAGAATGTAAATAGGAAAGAAGGCATTTAAGGCGGGGTTCACCTGAGGGGTAAGATATTTATCGCAGAAACATTAGATACACAATTTTTATCCTAAGGTAAGTGAGATTCATACCAAAATGATAAGTCATATGAGGCAGCCAATCATCAAGCCAATGTCCTCAATCTTTTCATTTACCATCTTCACCCTTTGCAATATCGTACGACACTGAAGGAAGAGACAGGCGTCACAATTGTACAGGTGTGAACTAATTTTGTCGTTCCTTAACATTTTTTATAAGCCTGAGCATTGTGTATCTTACAAAATAATTATCTTATATCGCTTACGACCTAAAGATGTGTATCTAATTGCGCTGGTGTGAACTCAACCTAGTGATAGAATGGGATACTACATTGACATAGCTATTGACACCACATGGAACCAGACCTGAGCTGGACTGCCAACACCCGACATTCTCAATGTCTGCCGGTAATTTATAGTAAATCATAAAAGCTAAAACAGCTGGTGGTGCGAGAAGTGATAGACTCAACTATGTATTGCAGATTTGAGCTTATATAAATCAGTAATCAGAATCATTTAAGTTATATTACTGTTTCAAACTGTCAGTCTAAAGCACTGAACTTGATTTAAAGATTTTTTTAAAAATAAATTATAAAGGTGAACAACTACTTTGGGTCATTTTCTGACTAGAAAAGCTTCCTGGCTGGGAAGCAAGTAGGCCGCAGCCCAGGAAACTCCCTTAGCATCGGAAACCAGGGCCCGGCAGTCGCATTTGTCTTCAAGACACCTTTTCGTTTTATACTTCGTTTTTCTACCCCACCCATAGCGCCACCACCTGATGGGCACCCATACCACAGCCCAAGACACCTCCCAACCTTTGAGTAAAATACGGATTGTTGCATAAAATTACTATTCATTTTATATTAAAGTATTTTTATTGTTTTCATTTCATATTTCAGAAATTAGTTTAGTTTTTTTTTAGGAAAGTTAATAATTTATCTATTTTGTCAGGGTCATCACCAAGCGAGTTTTGATGTTGGTTAGAATTTCCAAATGATATCTAGCTCTTTCATATTTTTTACAATTTGTCAAAATGTGCTTAACTGTTATCCTTTCTCTACAAGTAACACAAAACAGATTATCTTTTTTTTTGCCAGGACAATTTCTTCATGCCTGGAACCCCTAAGAGATGAGGCCTGAGATATTATGTGGTCTTTCATCTCACCACGAAGTTTGAAATTAGAAGTTGCTTCCCATTCTTTATGCCATAGTTGCCAAGACGTTCTTTTTCTGTCACATCGGATTTTGGTGTTTTTGTACCTTTATCTCCATCAAAGATCCAACCTTTGACCAAGAGTCCACATGAATACTACACAATTTCCCAGATTTTGCAATGATTCAACAGCTTGAAAGATTTAAAACCGGATTATTTGCGTTAACAAGCTTTTTTTTCTAATTTGATTTGAATAAAGCATTTGAGAGTTATATAAAAGATATTTTGGAGTCAAATTGTTCACAGTGAAATTTAGTGGTTAATGTGGCAAAGTCTAAAATAATTGTGTTCAAGAAGGGAGGCAGACAAGCTGTTCAGGACTGGTGAATCTTGAACAACTATTTAATTCAATATGCCGTTCGTTCCTGTTATGCTGCTCAGGTATGGGGCTACGAAAAGTTTGAACCGCTGGAAAAGATTCAACGCTTCTTCATAATAAAGTTATTTGCCTTACCTACACCAGCACCTAATTACATGATTATATATAGAGGCCGATCTAGGCCAGTTGTATTTGTATACACTGCAGCTCCATTTCAAATACATATTAAAAATAATGAAACTCCCAGATTATTGCTTGCCAAAAATAGTTTCCCTTGAAATCATTAATGGTGGTGTACTCTGGTTTAGGGTGTGGAACAACCTCTCTAATGAGCTGTCACGCGAATTCTTCTCACCGCATAATGTAAACAATTGGCCTGTTTTCTTTAAAGAAATACTTGCTAATTTAAAATTAAAATTTGTTGCTGCACTCCAGGAAAGGGTCTTGTCTACTTCACGTTTCTTATTTTACAGACAGGTAGCAGCTCAGGTATGTTTAGCTTAATTACAGATAATTCGCAAGGCTTGTTTTTGGGTGAACTTCGCTGGCTTTTCAAGATCAGAGATGATCTTTTGTATCTGAATGGTGCCCCCTTTCGGACTCTGGGAAATGAACGGTGTCCTCTTTAATTCAGGTGTTAGGGAGGACACTTCATTTTTGGCTGAATGCACCATTTTGTCAGAGATCCGCCGTTTACACATGAATTATTCTGTAATTGCAAAAGACTAGCTTAATGTTTTATTTAAGTTAATTAAGGCTTTTAGTTGAGATAAAAAAGTCAATGTCATGAGCGAGATTCAAACCCACGATCTTCAGCTAGATACGCCGCTGCTCTACCACTTGAGCTTTTTATCTCAACCAAAAACCTTAATTAATTGTAATATATTACTAATTGGTCACGCGGACCACGAAATTAGTGAATTTAATGATTTAAAATGAAGTATACTTCACTAAAGCTCTCCGTGGCCATTTCATTTGTTTGTCATTGAATCCAATCTGATTACACGACATTTGAAAAATGACAAAAAGGAGGGAAAACTCGTAAGGTGGGGTTGAGATGGGAAGTTAGTGTCCGAGTGGATCGAGGTCACGATAGCTCAAGTGGTAGAGCAGCGGCGTATCTAGCCGAAGATCGTGGGTTCGAATCCCGCTTGTGCCATTGACTTTTTTATCTCAACTAAAAACCTTTAATATATTAATTGGTCAAGCAGACCACGAAATTAGTGAATTTAGAGTTTTATTTAAGTATAAGTTTAGGAATTTAATTAAATACGCTCAACAGGCCTGGCACTATCGGCACAAATTAGTGGTGGAATTTAATTTCTAATGAATCTTTGTTTTTCTTTTATCTTCATTGTTTACCTTATTTTTTTTCCTTATTTAGTAGTTCTTTCTTTTTCCTTTGTAAAAAAAGTACTATCACTTCTGTACATTACCCAGCAGACTTGGGCAGATGAATTTTCTTTTTCCAAGCTATATAATACTTTGTTTTTCTTATTTAATTGTTATGCACTATACAAATAGTATATTATCATTAGTAAATTATATATAACAAATAGTATATTATTATTAAATTATATTAAGATATTTCAAGATCTGTATCATTGTTATCTCATACGTGGCCTTGCAGATATGCTTGGCTTGCCTAAGGTTAAAGGGCTTAGATAAACTGAGATGATGCAAAATTGCACAAAACAGCAAAACTTTGTACATTACCAACACAGGTATAAATTTTGACCTTTGTACAATGTTATGATTGTAATTTAAATATGTTGTCATTGCCAAAATATTGTTGTTGAATTTTTGCATAATTTTTTTTTTTATATATTTAAAAGATGATTTCGGCATTACCAACGTCGGACAGCAGTCTTTCTGCGCCCCGGTAAACCATGTTTCAGCTTCATCGGACTGTTCGTTCTTCTTGAACCAGGAGCCGACGTTGGGCATGGAAACGGAGGCCGAGATCCCGTTCAGCAACGGCTTGGAATCGCTGCTGTTCCTGTTAAGGTACTCGTCAAGCTCTGTCTTCAGGTTTGCCATTGCCCCGTTGTCATCACATACACCACCCGCTGTCAGTAGTCAGTACTCCGTTCTCAGTACGTACACAAACAAACCGTGTACCTCAGCTTAGAACCTGCCGCCTTGCTACCTGACTATTTTATTGTCAAAGGATAGCGAAGATTGGACATCTCAAACGTATCCGAAATATAAAAAAACATATATCTTGATGGGATAATTAATTGTTGTTTGTTAATTATCAGGTTTTAATTGTTAGGGTTGGCGTTTTACTCGGTCGACAGCGACGTGAACGGTGTCACTATAAAACACAAAAACTGGGATGCTGTAGATTAGACAATATATTCATATGCATTCCCACCAAAATTAAAATGTATTTTATAATGGAGGACCCTATACATTTTATGTTATTAAAGAGATAATTAATTACAAATTCAGTGAAAAACAAAGGTAGGGAATTCCCAAACGTTAATAGAAATATAATGTATTAATATACATATAAATGGGGGGGGGAGAATGAGGTGAGATTAATAGGTTTTATCTGTAAAATAAATAAATTTCCAGAAATTAAAAAGAAAAAGCAACTAAATAAAAAAGAAAAAGAATACATAATAAATAAATAAATAAATAAACAAAACATTGTATCAACTTTTTCATTATTTTGTCTAATTTGTTTTGTAAACCAATGTTAATACAATTAATTTTAATTTATAAGTTCTTCTGGTATTAAATTAATATCTCCCTATTTAATTATCTATACTTAATTGTCAACCATTGTTAATACAATTAATTTTAATACATAAGACCTTCTTTCTATTAAATTATTATCCTCTTTATTAATTAATATTAAAGATCAACAATAATAATAGTTTAATTTAATTTTCACTAGTTAATGGTGAATGAAGAGTGCTTTTGGTTGGTTGTGACGTTTGGTACTTGCCCTTCTCTACGCTTGGTACTGGGTTGATCTTGATACTTGAAAGGGAAAGTGGAAGTTTATAAGAATACGGGTTAAGTCTTTACATTAATTTATATAACAAAAACAAGGAAATTTTTTATAATTTTAAAACCCGTTAGTCAAAACACGCCTAGGATTTTTATCTGCTTTGTTTAAATGTAAGTGTTTATTCTATTATAAGGTTTTAACCCTTTGATAAAAGGTTTTTATAAGCACAGATTTATCACCGTGATAATGCACCCTTGAGGGTCTCTTTTTTTATCCTTGTTTTTTTTTCTTTATTCCTATCTTTTTTTTTTATGTTGGCTATTTTCGTTCATGTTGAAGTAGATCATAAAGAGGAGAATGTCTTCCGGACGGCCGATAAAATGCGTTGTCGTCGGGGATGGCACAGTCGGCAAGACTTGTATGCTTATTTCATACACGACGGACAGCTTCCCTGGGGAGTACGTGCCCACAGTGTAAGTCTCAGATTAGTTCAGAGTCAAAAATTTCCTTTTTACTTCAATGTTTAATTGTCCAGGTTCGACAACTATTCAGCCCCTATGGTTGTGGACGGCATACCGGTAAGCTTGGGACTTTGGGACACTGCTGGTCAGGAGGACTACGACAGGCTTAGGCCTCTTTCCTACCCACAGGTAACTAAATACTGAAGTACGGGTGAAATGAGGTCGTACGTCGGCCTAACATAATGTGCGGTTTTAGTTGTTTAAATGACTAATAACATAAACGTAAAGTCTTTTTGGCTGGTTGGCGAATTTGGTACTTTTGATCATCTCCAAGCATGGTACTTAGTTGAAAGAAATTCTTATTTCTCCAAACTATGCACTGAGAGAACTGCTCAAAAATGAATAGGGATATTTGTAATTTATTCTTATTTTGTTAATTTTAATTAAATTTATCGATATATTTTTGTTACAAAATAGAAAGTACAAACCAAACTCAAACAAATGTTAATCCTCATTTTTAATAACAGATTTATGTACATGTAGATTACTCATTTTGTAATCAAAACCTTTTCTCGACTTTTCTCCATTTTAATCCGAATGTAGTTTCTTTAATTATGGAAAACTACATCGTCTTGAAGCAATATTATTGTAAGGAGTCATCGAGGTCACCAGCAAGTAAATATCGCAGAGACAGTTGTCATTTCTCAGAGCTTTAGTCTGATTCTGAGAGATTGGAAATGCCAATGGGAGAGCATCTCTGCGCATTATGATGCTAAGAGAGAACAGAAATATTGTTATTGCTGTAAGACGGAACCCTTTCCATACTGCTCGCCAAATCCTAAATGAAGTATAAAGTGTTTTGGCAAGGCTTTTATCAACATAAACAATTTGTAATTGTTTTTGGGAAGTTGGCCTCATATCATACGCCCCCTTTGAGATGACCTGCAGCAATAGTCTGCCACAAGCAACTCTGGAGAATGTGGTGCAGCAAGCGTCTGGAAGAGAACTCCAATTGGAATGCTGTTATTTTTACTTAAACATTTCTATCTGTAAAGTGATAACAGGCACCGAACTCTACCGAGAACAGGGGAAGTGTATAACGCCCCAGTTTGTACTCCCTTCAGTGCAGTTTGGAGGAGGCGGTGTCTGGGCTAGGATTTACACTGGAGGATGAACTGGACTCCAAGTTGTTGAAAGTGACCTTACTGCAGTCTGTTATGTCCAAGAAATTATCGAGGAATACATCTCTCAAACTAGTATCTCATTTGTAGGGATTTTTGATTTCTGGATGACAATGCCAGACCACATAGAGACAGAGTTGTTAATCGGTGTTTAGAAAGGCTGAGAATTTCCCATCTGCTCTTTCTCCCATCAGACCTCAACCCAATGAGCACATGTGGGATGCGTTACAGAGAAGTTTTTTCGATCCCCATCCACAGCCAGTTGATATGCAATAACTGAGTGCAGTGTTGCAACATGTATGGAGGGAAATTCTTTATTATATTAGTGACAACCTTATTAATAGTATGCCTAACAGGTGCACAGAGATTTTAGCTAACAAAGGACATACATGGTATTAATTGTTTAAAAAAATTATTGTGTCCAACAACCTTAAAACCTTTTATTTTTCAAAATCCTTTCATTAAATTTTCCGTCAGTAAAAAAACAATTTCTAATAAATTTTAATGCAATTTATAATAAAAATAAAATAAAAATGCTAGGGAAAGTAAATACTACAAAATTGGCAATATCCATATTAATTTTTGAACAGTTTATTTTTAATTATCTCTTAGACAATCCTCAATTGTTAATTTTACAACAATATTGTGCCCATTTTAAAGTATTATAGGTAAATAAAACGCAGATAAAATCTCCCACTTGTGTTGACAGTTGGATTTTGCAAATAAATCTTTGAATAGTCAATCTCTTCTTTGGTGGTTTTTCGGTAAAGCTTCTTCCTAACGTTTCAGTGGTTTGATTTTTTTTAAGTTGTACCATTTTTGAGTTTCAAATTTGTATGAGCGATGGTTTTAAGTGATACAAATTTGGTTTGAATCATCATCAATTGTTGGAAGATGGAAGAAATCAAGTGTATGTGGCCAGGGTGCTTAACATTCCCAGAACAACTGTCCGAAGGGTTTTCAGGTCGCTGCCACATATCAGAGAGTTGATCGTTTTATTGTTTCTAATGTACTCTGTAATTAACACTGTCAAGATCAAGCAATGATTTCAGCGAGTTGGAAATGTTAGTCAGTTTACACACTGTAAGGCGAAGACTTTTAGAAGCTGGATTAAGTGTGTGAAGGCCTGCCATTGGTCCAGAACTTCTGACAAGGCACAGAACTTCTTGGTTTCGAGCAAGATTGAACTAAAATCACGTTTGCAGATGAGTCAAGGTTTTGTTTGAAGTCTTCTGATGGCTGAGAGAGGGTTTGGAGAAGAACAGGGGAGCAATATATCTCTGCAACGTTTTTACTCTGGAGAAGCTAGGGCGGTGTTATGGTTTGGGCAGGCATTTCTATGAAAGGTCGTAACAACTTGATCTTCATCAAGGGTTCCCTAGCAGCTGTGCAATGCATTGAATATGTGTTATCAGAAGAAGTTAATCCTTATATGCCACTAGTGACAATGGTTTTATTTTTATATATGAGTGCAAGCCCCACACAGCTAGGATCGTTGGTGACTACTTGGATTGGGGTTCAATGCAATATTTGGATAGCCAGCATGTAATCCTGACTTAAACTTTATCGAATACTTTTGGGACGAGTTGTCAAAGAGGGTAAAAAGTCGCCCAGTGATGAACTGTAAGCCAAACTAATTAGTAATCTGAAGGGGCGAGTTCAGTTTAAAGTGTTAGATATATCGATCTCTTTTTTAGTCACAAATAATATGGATCTTGGTATCATCTGGATGAAAACGCAAATTCAATTGTTACCACCATTTCATTTTAATATATATTAAAAACTTAATTATGTCAATTGTAGACATCTTTAAAATTGTTTTCCCTGATGATGACCTTAAAATAGGTCGAAAGTGTGCAGATAATTGAATTTGTTTTTTTATCCAGACCATACCGAGATTCAGATTATTCATCAGTGCTTTTTGCTTGATGAGATGCGGTTTAATTAATTTTTAATGTAGTCTGATGCCTAATGTGATGTTAGCAAATATTTTTATACATGCTTTCGACTTGAGCAGAACCGAGTTTCTGATTTCAAAAATTTCCTTTCTTTGAATTTCCACCAAACACTACCGTTTACTTTTCGTCTTAGCACAAAGCTGGTTGCCTGAATACTTTTCGTTTTAAGTTACAGTGCATTTGATCAAACAAAAATAAGTTTTTATAAAGTTTTATTACTTCAACTGATTCATGGCTTGCTGGAGTGAGTGAATAAATCATGAATGATCCACCTGCAGACTTTACTCAAAACTTCTAAGGGATTGTGCGTGGTATAACTTATTTTTTAAGGACTGCTGTAGTGGTGGTCGGTCAGCATGTTAGACTCTCATTCAATTCCCACCATCGCCCCTGATCTTTTTTCATCCTCCCCTTTCCTCAAAAATACAATAATAAAATTAATTAATTGAATTCTATGATTCTCTGGCTAATATGGAGAAATAAGACCATTAAAAAAATACAAGTTCCAGTGCTGGCATTTTTTGAAACAGTTGGCTGGCAGTTTACATGGCATCAGCAAACTTCTCATATGTGCCATTATTAGGCAGGATAAAAACCTTTTAAAAAACATCTTACATATATATTTACTTTTAAATTATTAACTTTCATTTAATTACTTTGAATAAATTGTTTTGTTATAACAAAGACACTTATTTGAAGGACATATGAATGCAGAATAAAAATATAAACCAAATTGAAATTATATGCACATAAAATGAAACTCTATTTTTAAAATTAAGAGAACAACCTTTTTAACTTTTGTTACAAGAAAGTAGTTAAAAGAATAAAAGAAGAACTGAAGTATTTTGGGGGACCGCGGTAGCTGAGTGGTTAGCATTTATAAAAAAAAAAAAAACAAGTAAAATTTACATATTAACCTAATTTATACTCTGAACATTTTCTTTTTCAGACTGACGTTTTCCTCATTTGCTTCAGTGTCACTAGTCCATCTTCATTTGAGAACGTCACATCAAAATGGTACCCTGAAATCAAACATCACTGCCCAGATGCTCCAATGATTTTAGTTGGTTAGTGTCATTCTAATTTTGATTGTAAAATAAGTTCGTAGCATTTTTCAATAATTCATTGTTTGTTAATCAGTTATTTTTTACACACTGTAAAGGGTTAAGGCATTTTTATTTGTCAGTTTTGTTCGAGATCTCATAATTTTATAAGGGGTTTTGCTTATTTAAAATGGTTGAAAAAATAATGCATTTTTGTTATTTAATGGTTTTTAATTAGTGCAAAGGGAAAACCGCAGCTCATCTGCTAGAAAAACTTGTAATGTCTATGGTGATGGCGCTTTAGGAGTTAGCACCATCTGTAAGTGGTTTGCTGCATGTTTCATAAGCAGAAATTTTGATTTAGAAGATGTGATGGCCAAATTCAAACTTTTGTCACAAATAACCCACTTAACGACACAATAATCGCACAGACACTTACTTATCTCTTACAAGCATAACATACCTGAGAGCATGTGGATATGTTTGTCAGAGCAATATATGGGTTCCTAATATGTAGATTGAGAAGAATTTATTGGATTGCATCTCTAATCTGAGTTTCCTTTATAAAGCACAGTGTTAACAACCATAAAAAAATTGATAACAGGATTAAAAGCAGGTCCTTTACAACAACGTTCAGAGAGAAAAATCCTAGAAAAAATGCAGCGAACCAACAACTCCAGATTATATCCTAAGAAGGTAATGCTGCCCTGCCCATTTGGTGGGATTGGAAAGGTGATGTTTATTATGAGCTCCTTTTGCCTTACCAAATTTTCTTTTTATTTATTCTAGTGTATACTGCACACAATTTGAGCGATTAAAGCTAGCAATATACAAAAAATGACCTACATTAGTAATCTCAAGTTTTCCTCCAGGTTAATGCTCGCCCCCATGTGTCTTTGCAGACATGCCAGAATTTGTTGTACTTGGCTGGGATGTTTCCCCCCCCCAATGGATACCAGGAACTGGTGGAGTTCCCCATGAGCTCTGCAGCTGTACAGCTTACTTTATTCCTGGCTCCATTTTTGGGGGCTCACGCCACGCGTTTGAATTTGAGCCGCCGGTGTTCTTCCATTGAAGAAACCTATTTTTGAAGGGGGTTGGGACCAAATTCAGGGTTGCTGAGATCCGATCCTGCCCCAGACCTTCCACTGATGAGCACCGAGTAAATTTCTTTCAATTGCGGCCACCGATCCCCTTAGGCGTCAGAAAAAAAGTCCAGAGGTGATGGTGGGGATTGAACCCATGATCGCGTGATCTACTAGCTGAGAGTCTGGTACCTTAACCACTCGACTACCGCGGCCCTCTGGCTAGGATGTGCAAACTAATCAACTGTATTCGCCTGACATTGTCCCTTCAGGTTTTCACTTATTCCGATGTGTGCTAAACTCTATAATTAATAGTAATTCATATCGATTAACGGTCACTAATCTCTACACATCTATATAATTAACTTTACTTTATTCAAAAGCCTTCGATTGCATGAAAATCACTCACGCAACTGTTTTGCGAAACTTGTCTTGTGTTGAGGATACCTAGCTGGGACTGCGAAACTTTTGGCGTGAGGTTGTTTTGGGGTGAGCGTACTGGCTGTCAGTTTTTTAGTACGCATCAGAGTGTTTCACATTGTTTGATTCTCTCCATGTTAACGTACTTGTCTCGAATATGAGAATGAACCAGGAAAATTGCATTTGACTTAACCGAATGTATCATAGCTTCCAAATTTTGTGGGATGCTAAAGATAAACCTCATAATAACAAGAACAAGATAGAGGATGGAAGGAATTGAGCATCCAAATGAGACAAAGACAAAAAGAACCCAAGAAGTATTGCCATGATAGCATATGCTGATGCAACATAATGGCATGCTTGTCTCGCACAAACTGATGGCTCACCTTGTTTCGCCTCTAGGTTACCAAATATTTCGCCTTGTGGAAATGGTTAACCTGGGATGGTGTTTTGCGAGTTAGTCTCGCATTTAGTTGCATGAGTGATTTTTTTCAAGCAATGGAAACCCAAGTAAAAACCTAGAAGTTCTGGTAGGATGAAATTACAAAATTACATGGAAGATGGCAACAGGCATTGGAACAAAATGTTGATTAAATTTGTTTACAAGTAACTGAAATTCTCTTTGAATTTACCTTCAAAAATGAACACATTTTACTATACATTCAAATAAAATATCTAAATTGGTAATAAATTAATTTTGTTCTATACAATGTGAAAATGTCATTTCTTTTTAAAGATTGTAAGGCCTGTTTCACTTTTATCCGACAGTTGGGTGACCGATGCTGGGTGCATGAGCCATGGGAGGAGAAGTGAATACATGTCGTTCATACTTCTCTGGTAAAAACCGTGGTTGTATGGTTGATACCTGATCGTAATAGTTAAGGGAAATCGGCATCCCGCTTGGCAAAGATTGACTGTCGGTGTTGGGTAAATGGCCAAGCATAAGTAGAGGGTGTTAGAATTTGATGGAGGTTTTCACATCTTCCTGACACGTCACTTATCTGTAGTTGAAAGTTTTCTTTTTAGAATGGTGTCGTCTGAAATGGCAAACATTGGTGTTGAGTTACTGATTATGTTAGTACATGATAATCCAATTTTATAGGACAAAACTCGCAACGACTATAAAGACAGAATGCTTACACAAAATTTTTGAATGGGCATATTGAAAGAAATTTACAATATATTTAAAGAAATGGAAGAAAAATAAAAAATAATTAAATTCACTAGGTTCGGGGTCCGCTTGACCAATTAATATCTTACAATTAATTAAGGTTTTCAGTTGAGATAAAAAAGTCAATGGCACGAGCGGGATTCGAACCCATGATCTTCGGCTTGATACGCCCACAAAAAGGAGGGAAAATTCAAAAGGTGTAGTTGAGATGGGAGGTTGGTGTCCGAGTGGATCGAGGTCACGTTAGCTCAAGTGGTAGAGCAGCGGCGTATCAAGCCGAAGATCGTGGGTTCGAATCCCGCTTGTGCCATTGGCTTTTTTTATCTCAACTGAAAACCTTAATTAATTATAAAAAATAATTCTTATTTTTCCCATGTTGATGGATGAACCCATTGCAGTCTATTTTTTCTCCCTTTCTCTTTTCTATACAACACCATAAATGTGATTAAATTATTGCATTCCATTCCAACCATGGATGCAGGCTCAACTGATGTCGGGAGCATGCCAGATTGATGTGTATGTTCACGTTCCTTCTGACATTTATATATCTGATATTGTTACCTGACTGCCGAATAAATGTGAAACAGGCTTAAGAATGACAAATTAAAACAATGTGCTCGATAAAGAATGATATTTGATGTATTTCATTTTTATCTCATCAGGCACAAAGATAGATTTAAGGGAGGACCGAGAAACTCTCAACAGCCTAACGGAACAAGGTCTGTCTCCTATAAAACGAGAACAAGGGCAAAAACTTGCAAACAAAGTCAGAGCAGTTAAGTACATGGAATGTTCAGCGCTTACACAACGTGGTCTAAAGCAAGTGAGTATTTTATATTTTTATTGATACTCTGTCTGTGAAATACTTAAAAAAATATATTTAAGACATTTTAAAATGTTTTGATAGGTTTTCGATGAAGCTGTGAGAGCAGTCTTGCGACCTGAGCCACAAAAGAGGAGACAGCGCAAGTGCAACATCCTTTAGCTTTTTAAGCTTAAACTTTCTTTTGTGCTTAGATGGTCTCCAGACAAAATGCCCAAACACTTTTACTTTTATTTTCATTAATTTATTTGCCTCATAATCCCATTTAGTTATTTTATACCAAAACTATTGAGTGAGATATACCAAAAATGCCATCCATTTTCAATTCAAACGCCTTAATCTTCCTTGGTAAATATCAGCTAAGGGCTTAAAAAAAAAAAGAATATGCCAAAGTTATAGAGAAATTGAGACTTGGTCAATACTTTTTTAAATCGATAGGTTCATTTATATTAAAAATTGTATCGTGTGTTTTCCCACCTTTCAAAAACCTTCCTTTTTTGTTTGTTTTAAAATTCTAATAATGCTCAACTTTTATCAAAAAGTATAAACCCCATTTATTAGAGTTAGGGTGGTGAACATTATATCTAATATGTGTCATTTTTATGCTATTATTAATTATTTAAAACATAATAATATATAAACAACAAACAAGCAACAACTCATTGAAGAGGTGAAGCGAACGTTTTCATTAAATTGGCAATGTTTCAAATTTTTCTTGCTGTGCTAACTGAAAATGCCATATTTTGAAAGAGAATTTATATAACTAAATATTATATATTTATTCATTATAGATTCATGAAGAGTTAGAGAAATTATAAAGATGTGGAAAAGTGAAATGAAAAGGAAATAGCATTGCTCATTTTATTGCCTGTGTGTAATTTTGAAATTTCAAATTCATGGGTTTTTAATGGTGGTAGGGAAGTTATAAATATCTATTGTTATAAACAACAAAAATTTAATTTATACTGTATAGGTTTAATAGTCATTTTTGAAACGGGGACAAAAGGCCTAGTACATACATAAAATTTGTTGACAAGTTTATTTGTATACAGTTTTAAACTGTAGATATTGGTTGTTTCTAGCCAAATATATTTTTCACAATGTTGCATTTTTTAAACTTCAATTTGATAATATTTTTTTTGTTGGAAACTTCGACCTAAAATAGTCAATTTGATGTTTGCTTAATTAGCTACGGGTAATTTAGTTTTACATTTGAGTGATTTCTAGTTCAGGTGGAATATTTCGTATTCTTCCAACTTGTGCAGATTTGATCCCATCTCGTATTTAAAAAATGGTATACATTATTAAATCTGATGTCTACTAATGACAGTAACAATTCAAAAAAATGAACATTTGTTGCAAAAGTAGTACACAATTCTTAATACAATATTCGACGGTTGTGTAATATGTGTACTGTGTAAGTTCGCAGAACATATTTGGATTATTACGGAGGCAAGAATCATTTGTTACATTTTTACAAGCTTCTGTCTAGTCGGCATAAATTTTAAGGTTGCAAAGAATTTTGCATTTAATGAAAAGTTTAGGACCAAGTGAGGACCTTTTATCAATTTATTCACTTTTCTACAATGCAAGTTCATAATGTGTATTAATTATAGATCTGTTTTTACCTAAATACAAAAGGAAACAAAACTGGTGTCTTTTGCATTTTGAACTCCCAATTATAGGATCAGAGTATGCATTTTAACCAAACAAAAATTAAGCTATATTAGCAGAAATGGCTAAGTAGTTGTGTCTTTAAAATAAAATAGCATTTTAACTGGAAGGTGTTTTATAGAAGAATCTCTGCTAATTTAGGGCATTTTTTTTACTTAGTATTCTTAAATGTATCGTTAAGAAATATTGTCACCTTGTTTATTGCTAATGTATTAATGCACTTTTCAATGTTTTAAGTGATAAAAAAGTACTAATATTTTCTCTTAATTTTTTCGCTTTCTTTTAACATTAAGCATTTATTAACCATAGGGTATACAAAGTTTGAACAAGTCTAGTCAAAATGAGATTTTATTTTGAATTATTTATTTCTTTCTTCTGTCTTTTTTTTGTGTATTCAAAAATATAATTGTCCTTTTTTATATATATTAGTTTTCTTTTTGAGATTAACCAAATAAAATTAGTTGGGCCTTCAAAAGAAGGCTCTATTTCTTGGTTGAATCTGTTGTAGCTGTTTTTATAGCTTGAATTTTTATAAATGTTATGTACAATTAACTCATTTTATATTAAATATGTAAAAAAAAAGGTTTGCTATTAACCTCTGAAATCATTAGAAACTCAAAATAGAAAATTAAAGAAAATAATTAAATTGCTAAATTATTAAAAAATGCCATAGTGAAATATTGTAAATGCAAATACAACACTTTTCCTTGTATAAATTGATTTAGCCATTAAGGCAATTATAAATAAAAAAAATGAAATGTGTATTTTTGTTTTTTATTTTCTTGCTACCCATGATTCATGCTCATGGTTTTTTTAGATTTTGTTAAGTGATGATTAGTGTTATATTCCTAGTTGTATACCTTTTAATCACTGCAAGGTCACTGTTATCTTTTCCTATAGGTGACTTTGATGGATTAAGTCTGGGTTTTTTCGTCGTTAGACTGGTTGGTTGTGCCTGGTGGTTCGTTTTTTTTACCAAAACATTGAAATTGGACGAAACCAATGGGGATTGGCCGAACAGGATGATTGGAAAGTACTAAAATACTGGTTCATCAACATGCTTAAAAACTCTCATCACATTCACTATGTACAATGATTATTGTAATAAACTTAATCATTGACATCATTGACCCATTTGGATATAAAATTTGTTCTGATATACATCCACTGTAACGTGAAGTTCCTACATACTTAAAAATGTGCTTCTTTTTAAAATCATTGGTACCCCAAGGGTTCATGTAACCCTGTAGTTGAAATACCCTTTTAAAATATTAATTAATTAAATCATTTTAATCATATATATTTGAATTCTCTCCGTTCATCAGTCATTAATCTTCAATGTTCAGTCTTTTATACGTATGTTCAAGCATTTGGCTGGTTACTATGTGAAATTAGCATTAAAATAAACAATATGCTGCTGGAATTGATTATTATTAATTTAAAATGGTAGTTAAACAATGAAAGCCATGTGCAGTAAATCTAATTTACGGGTATGACGTATGTAGGTAAGTACGAGAAGCTATGGAATTTCAAAGGGTAAGAAAGTAGACATAAATAATTACAAATACCTATGAATGTTGTTAAAACTGTCATTTATAAAAAAAGGCAACTATTGCTAAGTTATTAGTAAATAGGTTTTGGAATATGTTCAATCATAATCTGGTACAGCTTTTGGCGAAGTTCAAGGTGTTTAAGTGTTTCTTGTGCTCTACTTACCAGATCTTGGGTTTCAAGGATATTAGATAAATGTATTAGTTGGGGTGTGTATTATACTGCACCCTTTAAGAGCTATTGTATCCCCCATTCTGTGCTTAAAGCACACCGGTAAATCCTAGTTCATTGAGGAATTATTAGGCACGGTTTCAGTGGATGATTCAAGGATATGTTGTAGTAGAAAAAAAATTCAGAGATTTTTATTACAAAAATGTTTTTGGTCATAACCCTCAGGGTGTTGGTGTTTTTGAAAAAAGCCCATTTGTAAGCATTTCAGATTTGAATGTAGAGCTGCTGGATCGAACTCCGAACCTTTATTTTACAGTTATGAGCACCGTGACTACGCTTAAACCGTTGCGGACACCAATGTCCCCTCCCAACACTGCTATTGTTAAAAACTGGTATTGACCTCCTATTTCTTTTTATCTATAATTTTTTTTTTAATCTCCTATTTCTCTTTTCATTTGTTCAAATGCAAAAACTTGGTGACCTCTCCTTTATCCAAATCATATGCGAGTTGATAAACATGAATTGCTAGAGGTTTTCAGTATTGAATATGTTGGTTCATGAATGTGATTGTGCATCTGTAATCCTCCTAAGATGGATTAGGGAAGTTCAACATGAAAATATTGAACTTCTTTTTAAAGATTTGGACCATTGCTTGGGCTCTGGTCGGGCAGACGAATTTTTTATGCCACTTTGAGCAACGATGGTTCTTCAAAATGTGTTGCGAGAAAATATTTTTAAAATTTGTACTCTGAAAATTACTGCAAATGAATTTTGCCTTTGGTTCATTATAGAAGTCATATTTAACTTTTTGGCTGAATTTTATCACAGTTTGGTGTTTTGCATGTAGGTATCTCTAGCTTTTCTTGCTTTCATTTATCTGGGTAGTGAATGACAAAACAAATTGTTTGGTGATTCTTGGAAATACTGGTATCAATTGATTCAACAATTCAATTTTTTAAATTAAATAAAGAGAAAAAATGTAATATGTTTTATTACTATGCTAGTATATATATTGAGTAGCATTTTGGTCATAAATCCCGATTTTTGGAGGGAACAGCTGTGTTATTGTATATAGTACTGACAGATCTCACTTTGTGTTCCCTCTTGTGTATATTGAGAGAGAATTTATTTATTAGCATGAATGTGTAGTGTGAGAGGGCTGATGGTTGAATGTTGAGTATCCTAGTGGAATGACCCAGCTGTCACAGCCTGTCAAAACCAAAATTGGATGATTCTTAATTCAATTATATAAATAATAATACATGGCTATGGTAGTTTGGTTGTTTTTTGGTTATCCTGGTTTTCCTATATTCGCTGTTCTATGAGTATAACAACAGCATAGAGAGATGTTAATAGTCAAAAATCATCCAAACGCGGTTGTACGGCGCAAGGTGATACAGTTCGGCAAGACGTAAGAGATTTTTTGGTTTAACCTATTGTGGGACTTAGTATAATAATAGCCTCCCGGCGAGTCATTTATATTTGGGATATAAATTTGTTTCCTAGATAAAATGTATATCTAATACAGATGAACTAAAACTGTAGATAGAAATACAAGGAAGTAAAAGGAATTGATGATTGGTGATATAATTCGACAAATGATCTATCTTGACCAGATTGATTGGTTACATAAATATGCAGGAGTTGTTTCATTAAATAAACGAAATATTATTTACAGCATTCATGTTAACAAATTTTCTTCTTACTCTAATACTACGTTTTGTCCCTACACATAATTTTCTGGTATCATGTTTGCCTAATTTTTGTTTATTTGTTTTACGGTCTTGTAATGGCTGACTTGTTTCTTTTATTTATCTGCTTATAATGTTTGTCTCGTTCTCCTACCTTTTTGTTTGCGTATTTGCCCATATGTTTTCCCGTCCTATCCAATCATAATTGCCTGTTTGTTCTGACCGCTGGCTTATTTATATTTTTTCTATCATTCAGGCTCCTTCATTTTTTTAATTTATTTTTTATTTTTAGTATACATTTGTGTTTTTTTATGAGAGTAGTTAGTTCGTGTGCGTTTTTATTTATTTTGTCATTTTCTGAGTTGATTTTGTCTATTTGTTTATTTTGTTGCATAATTTTCTTTTCAACTTTACGTGCGTTTGTTTTTTCTGCTTGCTCATTTATTGATTATTTAGCTTAACACAGCAGACATAGGTAATTTCTACCGGCAATTTGTATTATTTATGTTTGACCTGATTGTACAGCGCAGGATGCAACACCTGACTAAAGAGATTTATTGGTTTGACCTAGCACACTTTCTTCGGAACCAATTTCATATTCACCGTTAATAATAATGAAGATAGCAAAGAAATATATACAGTGACTCACAGATTCGTTCACAGCTGAATGCAAATTGGGCTATATCATTATTTACTTTACAAAAAATTTGTAGGACATCAAATAAACGTAGTTTTTTAAATAATTTTATTTATCTTAACACAAAAAACACCCAAAAATTAAATTGTTCCTTTATCATGATTATTAAAATAATATAAAAGAAATTACCGTGTGCGAACGATTGTGTCATAGAAAGTCCTTTAATATTTTGTATGTCCTCCTTTGACTTTCAAAACTGCATCAGTCCTTCTGGGCATACTTCTCACGAGATTTCTGTACTGTTCTGGACCCATTCAACTTGTGTTTTTTCCCAAAGTTGATCGAAGTTTGAAGCGCCTCATGCAGCATCGACTAAAGATTTTTTAGTTTTCCCCACAAGTCCTCAATTGGATTAAGGTTAGGTGACTGTGAGGGCCATTCCATGACATTAAAACCACGATCAGCAAGCCACTGTTTGGTCAGCTATGGTTTCTTCACTTCCCGTCGCTCTTAATCCGGCCTCAGCAAACATCTCCGTTTGTTTCAGCACTGACATCCATATTATCATTATCACGCGGCCTACGCTGAATTTGGACAGCATTG